TTAGTGGTTTCCCCATCTATACCAAAATATCAAAGTACTGGGTACTTAAAGTAATCTAAAGTACCCAGCCAGTCACACTTCCCCCAAATATCATCAACATATTGTGTGTTACTGGGGATGTTGATTATATTAGGTAGCTTTGGGGGACTCAAAAATCATCAAAAATTAGTAATTTATAGATATTTATAGTGGGAGAAAAAAAATGTGTTTGTGGTACCCCAATTTTGAGAAACAGCCGTAGTGTTTCTTAAATCATATTCATCAGGGGATATTAAGAACATATCCAACGAACACTGCTCAATGTCCAAAAAATCTCCATCACTCCAAAAAATGGGTCAAAATCAGAGGCGCCCCAGGCCACAGATGTCAATCAGTTCGTTGCTAACATTTATTCACCATCTACCCTCTGGTAAACTAACATAACTATGGAAAATCACAATTTTCAATGGGTCAATTTCAATAGCTATGTCAGTCATTACCAGAGGGTAACCATCTATTAACCATGAGGTACTCAATCAAATTGACAAATTGACTCATCAGGAACTGGGCCCTCCAGCTGACGCCGCAGATCGGAGGCATCGAAGCGCACCTGAGCTGGTGACAGCCCTCCTGGATCCTCCCATAGACGCAACAGCACCCAAGTCCGCCTCCACTGGTGCTGTCAGGGAATCGATCAAGTGCAAGGCGTCTTCATCAATACGGCCTCCGGGTGGAAAACTTCTCAAAGATGTTTTTGTTGGAGTATCTGTTTGATTTTGTTGTTTCTGTTGTCTTTTGGTTCTTTGTTGGATTTTGGTCTGGACATTCCGGAAATAGCATTATAGCATATCACAGCTAATTATATCTCCCCTGGCTGAATCTCTCGAATGTAGTCAAAGACTGGCAAATACCAGTAAAATTACTTTGAGCTGTTTTTTGGGTGGTAAGATTATGACCCGAAAATTCAAGGAGAGCTGAACATTGCCCACCAGTCCTTTAACCAGTACTCGGTGGTTCATCTTGCTGAGTACTTGGGTTAGCTGATTACACGTTTAGTAGGTAGAACGTTTCTACGAATTACAGTGGGCCGATCACCTGCTTACTAAGTGGCGTGAATCACCAAGTGGGCAGTAAAACCCAGGATTTTTGTTAGAGTTCATTCTAAGTTAAACAACAAAATAAGACTGGGGATACAGTCAGATGATGTCCTCCTTAAACCCTCAACTTCCCCAAAAAAACACAGGAACCTGCTGCATGTCTCGCCTTTCTTGGAGGCTTTGCGCAAGGAACAGGTGATTTCCGCCTGCCTTGGGAGTGCGATGCTTGAGACATGAGAATCATGAGATTTTACGTATGAGAACTGGGATGTTCAGAAGCAGTTAAATGGACCTTCCGGGAGTGTCATTTGCCCCATTTTAAAGTGATTTGCCCCAGAAAAACATCGGATTTTAAGATGAGTTAAGATGATTTGGCTATGGATCAATACCTATACATACCATTTTTAGGGGGATGAACATCCATTTACCAGCTATTTTGATGTGAACTACAGGGGTACAAGGTTTTGACACACTGCCATTTGGGTGAAACATGGTGAAACCTCTAACTTTTGCCTTCAACCAATCCTGGGACACCATGGGAAGATCCAGGGTCCCAGGCCCTGAGGGTGGCAACAACACGCGCCGGCCGTTGGCTTCAGCCAGGCTGCCCGCCTCCTGGAACCATTTAGGTTTTTACTGTTTCCAGGGCGATATGATATGATATCAGATTATGTGTATATATATATATTATATAATATATATATATACATATATATATATATTATATATATACATATATATATATGTGTATTTATTTAAGTATATGTATATATATATATGTAGTTTTATAGTTATATAGATATGATTGTATAGTTCTAAGTGGTTGTCAGTGGTTCTCGTGGATACAGTGGGGCTATACAGTTAATGGTAATGTAGGAGTCCTAACGGTATAGTAACTTACCGACCCCTTCATGAACTCAATGTAATGGGGCAAATAGGGCTGCAATGGTGTAATTGCAAATGGTTTCAATGATGATATACATATATGTATGTATGTATGTAATGTAATGAAATTTAATGTAATGTAATGTATGTATGTATGTATGTATCTATCTATCTTTGTATCTATCTATCTAGGTAGGTATGTATATACATGTACACAAATACATGTATATAATATATATATATAAGTTTTTCCTGTTCTTACTGTATGGGTTGGATGCAATGCTTCTAATAGTATGTTCCAAAATTGGGTGGAGTTGAGAGAATCCTTCAATATTTGGGGTGATAACCACATGGATAGTAACTCTCTTGAAGTACTTGGTGATGGTGATACCCAATCAGCAACAGATTCACAAAAAAGATACTGGAATTCTGAACCCCTTGCTTTTGAGGAAATACTGGGGTTTCCGATGATTTCCTAGTCATGGTTAGTAATCGTTACCAACCACAACCTGGTGCCCCTTGGTTATGAGTTGGTTTATATGTTCATGTTTATTCCACATCTAACCATGGTTATATATTGCTATACGCACCATAAACCCTTGGTATATAAGCGAGTTGAAAACCAACTTAGCGACTCACCAATAAGTCTTAGAGATTCAGGCCTGCCCCAGGAGCATGAGCAGCAGGCAACAGCCCAACCTGGGGATTTGAATGGCGATTCTAGGAAATTTACGTGGATTTCATGGAATGTTCTGGGGATTTGCTGTAACTGAAAAAGGGGATTTATGGCATTGTGATGTTATGGAATTGACTGGGGATATAATGGGATAGAACAAATGTGAGTTGGGTTTGTCCGCAAAATGTATGGCTAGGCAAGTTGATTGTTGAGGTCTTTGTATAGTTCATAATACAGCCAAGCTGGAGCGACCCATACAGGGGATGGTCCAATTGTATGTTCTATCCCCTCCGAGACGGGTCTTTTTGTTTGTGCTTACATGTATCTATATGCATACATACAGAAAAATACATTAATAGATATCGAGATACATATGTACAGCACATGTCTATACCGCAACTATGTATTTTTTCCTTTGAAGAACCAAAAAGGGCTGGTCACATTTCTCATCGAACCCTCCATGTTGGTCAAGGGGTCAACATTTTTGGAGCGCCAAAGCATCATGTTTAGCTTTGCCGAAGAGGCAAAGCCAGAAAATAAACCAGTTATAAGCCAGTTAGCCGATTTATGGAATGATCACCCCATTTATAAGAGGAATAACATGGAATAACTGGCTTTAGGATGCTGGGCTTGGTAGACTGAACTGGGGAAAATGTGGCACCCGTGGCACCCGTGACCTCGCATTCCTCTGCTCGCCAAGGTGCGCGTACCAATCTCGGCTGAGCAGCCGTTTGATCGCATCCTGCACTGATCGATGCTCGTCAGGTGGCGGCGTATATGTTTGGGAGGAACAAGCGAATACACTTCCCAGTGAGCGATGAAATGGTTCATGACTATGCTTATAATCCATATATATAATATTTATATACAAATAAATATGTGTATACATATATATATGTATACAGTACATACAGAATACATATGGATACATGCAGCGGCACGAGAAAGTCTCAGCAGCCATACATACAGCATAACATTCTGATTATATACGAAGCGCGCGCGATGGTATGTCCAAGAAGTGCATTCCTCCCTCCATACACAATCCAGGCAATGATATCAATGATCCATGACAATAGCTGTTTTGTCGCAGACGATATGCCTCAAACATCGTTTTGGCTGGTTCCATCTAGTTTCTTGGCGAAGATCAGTTCACTTTGTATCTACATGTTTTATGGCTTGGATCCCATTTTAGCCATGGTGAAAGTCTCACCTCCTCATCGTCGGAATCCACCAACATCAATTCGTCATACACCTGCGGATGATTTCAGGGAAAATCCACATGGCTTTTCCATGGCTTCCCCTCTAGAATCTAGACCCAATGGTTGCTCCCCTGCAACAAAACATGAGGGTAAAGATATCAACAAACCTATGGGATCTTGTGGGATTAAGTGCCAACATTGTTTTAAAAATATATATATATATGTGACATCAGCAAACACGGATGGTTTTTTCTGGATTTCATGGGGATTCTGCACGATCTGACTACAATTATGTGGGTTGGATCGACAAAGATGTGGATTTGATCAACACATACAGTTGCTGGTTGGTCCACCCCAAAAATTGAAAGTGAGAAAATCATCCCAAGTACTTGTGGGAAAATGAAACAACAGCAACAGCCAATCAAGTTTGGATGTGCCTCTCGCTCAGCAACTTATTCTATCCATCTCTGGAAATGGTAGCAGTTTCCAAGGCGGAAATAAAAAACGATTAGACTAGTTCCCCCAATCCAAACCGTCATTGACGGATCTTGGTCCACCAATGATGTTTTGTCATATCCATCCATTACTATCCGTCCATTTGCTGGCAAATTTACAGTAAGTGTCTGCAAATAGGGTATTATAGGGTATTCCAAATTCAGTCACTGGATTGGTTTAAGGGAAAATTTACAGGAAACCATGGTTTTTACCATCAAATATATAGGGCTTTCCTGTAAATTTTCCCATCATCCAATTCTATGATTCAGTGGTTCATCGCAATTTTCCCCATTAAAATTGCCAGTTGGGGGGTGTACCCCATGTGCAAACCAGGGCTTCACCACAGGTTCACTGCTCTAAGCCAGGGGCCAACTTCTTCGTGGGGCTGAGATTCGTTGCAATGGGGAATTATGTGGATATGTGTATATATATATATATAGTATTTATATATATATATATATATTATATTAATTATATATATATTATATTAATTATATATATATAATATTAATTATATATAATATGTATATACGGAGTATATTTTTACACAATCGGATTTTAAAACAAAACAATAGTTATTTTATATAATTTTATTCATACTAATAACACACAATATATACACAGGATATTTCCCCTCCATGAGATTCCCATGGTGAACCAGGGTCTTTTTCACCACCAAAACCGCGTTTCGGCCTCAGGTGCCATGAAGCGCGGCGTGCCACAGACGGTGGAGGAGACTTTGGGGCTCAGGCTCAGCTTGTCGCTTCCGCTCTCTTCGCTTCCTGCGGTGAACCATGGTGAACCATCAAAATCATCAGAAATGGAGATATTAATGGTGGTATATTATATGTATATATGGTATATATGGTGGTATAATGGTGATATAATATGGTGGAGAAGAGGGTGTATCATTAGATAACTCCACGTTGCTTTGATTTGCTTTGCTCCTCGACACTTTCCTGAAAAACTCTCTTCTTCCTACACATACATTCATGGGGGTATGTGGTATTATTAGCAAATTAATGGTGAGAAAGTAACATAAATTAATGGTGTTATTGGTTTGTCATCCAACATGAATAGAAATATGATTGGTTGATATTAATGGTTAACCAACAAATGGATATATTACCATAAATGACTGGTGTTGTTATTGGTTGAATGAATAGTTTGACCAACTGGTGACCAACAATACTGCGCGAAAATTAACATAAATTGACATAAATTAACCAAGAATGACGCTTAGCCAGCCATTGCACCAAATTGCATCAGAAATAACTGGGGTGAGAATGAGAATCATCAATAGTTTTCCTCCGGGTATTAGTTCGATAGGTTTCTGTTGGCAAACATTACTAGGTTAATTGTGGTTTACAAAATGGATATATCTATACTTAGTTGGGTCTGACATGGCAATCTTTACCCAGATCACCAACATGTACGAGAAGGGATCCCAATAGAACAGGGTTTCTTTCCAGAACATTTGTCTAGAACTCTCTGTAAAACCAACCCAGTGATGGCAATTTCTTGGTGGTTCTCATATTTATCATTCCATAAGAATATCAACTCGTTGCATCCCAATTTTTCGCTGGGGTTACCCTCTGGTAAACATACAAAAAACTATGGAAAATCACCATGTTCAATGGGAAAATCCACTATAAATGGTGATTTTCAATAGCTATTTTGACATAACCAGAGGGTACAACTCCCAATAACTAGGGCTTTAATAACTGGGAAAGGTCATCACCGAGCCATAGCTGGGCATCGTTTCCCAAGGTGCCTCGCGCTTCGACGGCGGAGTCCAACGTTAGGGACCGTGCCAGGCCAAAATCCGCCAGTTTCGCCACGTTGTCCTCGCGCGAAATGGGGACCAGGGGCGTCCCGGAAATTTACCATTTTGAATGGGTAAATCATCATCATATATATATATATATAATGTATATATATAATTAATGATATATTATAAATATACAGTATATATAATGGTTTATATTATTGTATATTATTGAGTGATATTCATAAATGTGTATGTACACAGTAATAGTGTTTGCTATGAGACCATTATGGTCATTTGCCCCTGCAATGACCCAGTTGTTGTGTGGATGTGCTACATTTAGCTGCAAAACTGTGTTGTTTTGGAAAATGATAGAAAATATCACATACACGGAGCATTGTACATGGAAGATTGGAATTTCACCCCAATAATTTTCAGTACTTGTTGTCATTTCATAGATGGAAGAGTCAGAGCAAAAACGTCCGAAAAAGGGAAACATCGATATCAAAAATAGCTATTAGAGGCTATATATATAATTATATATATATATATTGAATTGAGATGACCCCTTGGGTACTTAATGTTCAGATACTTGTAAATGAACATTGTCAATCTATATGGGAAATCTATCGTGGGATGAATGGAAATGTCATGAAAGTCGGTAACCGGTAAATGTCCTGGTCTAAGACCCATCAGCTACACCAATAGATCATCTGTGGGATGATAGAACATCTATGGGCCTATGGGATTATCTGTGGGGATTTTCCAGGGTAGTCCACAGCGTGTGCCCCGGTGATCGGTCTTTGAACGTCACCAAGACATTGTCGGGTTTCAAGTCCCGGAAGACCACCTGAGTTGCCAGTTTTCGACATCGTAGCTGTCACGACCAGCGAATTGATTTCAAGAAACAACGAAACACCAAATGGGTTTGTCTGAAAATGGGGGATACCCACAAATAGCAATTTTAATGGGGAACATGGTGATAATCCATTGGAATATGAGATACACTATTTTCAGACAAAGCCAAATAATGATCTACAATCATAATGGAAATAGTGATGTGAGTCGTCCGTCCTACTGGGGTTGTCCCGAATCGTTGCCAAGAAACTCGTTGTTGGTGCAAGTACTCCAAGGCCAGCGTTATACAAGCTGCGTAGCGCCTGGGCACACAGCTGAAATATCTAGAAAATCGATCAAACATTATCAAAATGGGTGGTGTAATGGGTGTTCATCTACCTCTGTTTACCTGTTTTATAAGTGTTCTATAAATCTGCCTAGCCACTTTCTATACTCATGAAAATTGGCATTTTCCCAGTAAGCCTGGTACTTTACAGCCTCTACATCCAACACTTCCAGAATTTTGCACCGTGATGGTAGCCACATGGGCGGATGGAGTTGCTGAGCAACTATGCTTTCGAAGCCCTTCAAATGGGGCAAATATATAATTCTGTCCATATTTTGTAATATACATATCATGATTATTTTATATATACATATTATATACATATTATATATCATTACATAACATCATGATATGTACCAGAATTATACATGTAGGTTTCCCATATAATTACAGTACTCATACAATTACACCGGGTCACAACCTCAGCAGGTTTCAACAAACCCTTGCGGCTTGGCAGTCTATGGCTCTTCACCTGTTGGGGGTTGCTGTGACCTCAAAGCAGCAAGTAGGTGACTTTGGATCGTCTGGTAACCAAAAAACGATGGATTACCAAAAGCATATCAAACTGTATAATGTCAAGGTACATACGCTTAATAAGACTGCATTAAAACTTCATATAGCCATTACGTAGCCATTGTATGTATATATCACACTGAAAGCCCCAATTCTTGGTGCTTCATTCCCCATGCCCGGACCCAGTCCCCAGTCGCAGCACTTTTCTCCAAGTGGCTTGGTGGGATAATCCGCCAGGCCCCCGATCTGTCCGTTCTCGTCCAGGGAGTCAAGGATGCAGGCATTCAGACTCTTGTCACCTGAAAAAATGGCAAAATGATACATGTAGTACATGTTAATAGTCTATATTATACTTATGTTGACATACATCTATACATCTAACATATTGTATATATACGTGTATATATATATACTATACACATGCAGTTCTATTTTTCAAGTGTTTATATGTACATGTAATTAGTAGTATATATATATAACATATGTATACACAGGTATGTGTCTGATGTGCATGATATCCTTGTCAAATTATACGATTTTCAGGAATATGGGTGTGGAAGAAATCAGTACAATCAACAAAAAGGCGCTGAGGCGAGATCGAGCAACAACAATTTCTTTCAAATATGACTCAGATTGAAGCTACCGATACTTTTTTACGAGGACCAAGAAGTCGATTTGGGTTGCAGCCCACTTGAAACTAGTCCACTCCGTGCTAGCATGGTCAACCATGTTCATCCCAAACTGGTACAGTATACCCTCTGGTAAACTAACATAGCTATGGAAAATCACTATTTTTGATGGGTAAATCCACTATAAATGGCCATTTTCAATAGCTATGTTAGTTTACCAGAGGGTATATAAACTGGTCCCGTAGATCCATCCCCATTTGTAGCCAAGTCGCATAGTTCCATCAGGAGAGCGTAGTATGACTGAGTCTGAAAGATATGAATCAGCCTGCCAGCAGAGCATGAATCACAGTGAACCTTCGATCATTTCCATGTATGATGCATATGTAGGCTTAGACCCTTTGCTCTTATTGCAACATGTTGGTACCCCACAAATAAAGACAATGTCTTTGGCAGGATATAAATGGATATATATATATATATATGTGTATATATATAAATGGATATAAGATGTTTATCCATCAAAAACAGCTCAGAATGAGGAATTCACCCAGCAGCAACACCCAGGTAATACCAACTTGTTGCTCGAGAAATCCACCATCTTGCTGTTGGGAATGCGAATATCGTGGTAGCCCAACAGCTTCATAATGAAGAATTAGGCAAACAATAGCAAAAATGATCATGGTCAGAATAAAACGCAAATGTAACATTACCAGTTAGGAAAGAATGAGGGGATATGCTTAATTCAAATGCCAAACATATATATATATATACATTATATATATATATATATACATTATATATATATATACATTATATATATTATATATATATACATTATATATATATACATTATATATATACATTATATATATATGCATATATTATATACATTATATATATATATATATACATTATATATATATATACATTATATATATATGTACATATTATATACATTATATATATACATTATATATATACATTATATATATGTACATATTATATACATTATATATATACATTATATATATAATGCATAATGTGGAATGAATCTCGGGATGCATAAGGCAACCATCAGTATTCAACAGAATCATATTGAATCAGAGGATGTTTACACAACAATAATTCCTACTTTGTTATCTGGATACACCTGAAAAGAATTAGCAATCTGCGTCTCAATCATCCCATATTCAAATGGATCCACGCACCATTTTACAATACAAGAAACCTGACATGCGCAACCAATCACAACGCGACTTGGATGCATTTCAAGAAATTGGACAGTTGTTTCCCACCATTTTTGTGTGTATTTACCCTCACTGTATCTGATTAGAGTCCCTTTCTTGTCAGTGAAAATACCCGTGTTGTGAATCACATGTCTGTTTCTTCAAATACCATCGCTGTTGTTGAAAATCCAACTTCGGTAGGTTTGAACCCCACTTCACTGATTCTTGAACTCCCCATGTCACATGTCTACTTCCCGCTTCCACACAGTGACCAGTAGCACCTGACAATGAAGGCGTGACTTGACCTGCAAAGCCACGGTGCTACGACACAGCATGTACACGGCTGGTGATCGGTGGTGACCAGCAACTCTACCAACCAACATGGGTAAAAAATGGTAAAAAACAAGCAACAAAGCAAGGCTAACAGGCTAAACATTGCTAAACCATAAACGGAAACTAGGGTGTTTCATCAGCATGCAGACTTCAACGAATGATGGGAAACTAAATCAATTAATGGGTGAAGTCGCCGGGTGCCCCCACGTCAGTGGATCAGAACCCATGTTTCTAGAAAATATGTCCAAAGAATAACTGCCTATGTTCTGGAAAAACACTTTAGAGTGAGGCAGCAACCAAGACCTAAATCAGACTATGTAGTTGGAATTTCATGTCAGGATTCCCAACCCAGGACACATCAGTTATCATTGTCGATTTTAGATTCATTCCAAGCGAAACTAACAACACAATGAAAATACAAACCATTTACTGAATATATAGATCAATTGACCCACGGACCAATCAAATTAATTACCATGCACTCAGGCTTACCTGAGAAAACTCCGGTAACTTGTGGCATATCGTCACCTTCAACCAGTCATATATGGACTGCTCCCTCCTCAGAATGAGTAGATGTACTCTATCTTTAAGCTTCCAGTTATTGTTGCTCACGAGGGTAATGTGTTCTTGTGTTGAGTATATCATACTATGTCATACAAGACATATAAATATGATGTGTCGATGATATTTGAGATCACCACCTTGCGTTTGAGAAGGAACGCGTGTCCTGTTTCCATAGCCATTTTTTGGAAGAACTCATCGGAAATTGCCCAACCCGCTATCGCCGAAGCACCGATGCAGAGCTTCCGCTTCGCGGATCGCGAACTTCGTGGTGCTGTCTCTTCCTGACCAAGCGCAGTGCAACGCTGTGGGTCGCAGAGAGAGAGGTATCTCCCATGGAACTATGGGGATTTGTACAGATATAATATGATATAATATGATATAATATGATATAATATGATATAATATGATATAATATGATATAATATGATATAATATGATATAATATGATATAATGTGTTTAACAAGATATCATGGGGGTTGGGGATGGTTGGGGGACATTTGTTGCATTTGAGCATGCAAGTTTGGATATGGTCCCATACAGAAAGTTCATTAAAGTTCAGGCAGCACCATGAAATGGAAAGAGATCCCATGGGTTTGTGAAATGATCAAAATTAAAATTCATTTTTTGGGGTTCCGCATTTATTTTCAAGCGGCGTAACAAAGCGACACAAATATCGCCATCATCAATACAAAAACACCTACTTTGTGGGTTCAATAAATGTCCATTCAATCTGCTGTTCCCGTTGCCACATCGTAGACTCTAGATGCAACGCACCAACGGCAAACCCAAATCAATCCAAATCATCCAGATTCAGGTTCAGGTTCCTGACCCCAATTTTCATAGCTGACCTTGCACATGATGCTTAGAACAAACCGGAACAAACCATCTTCAGTGGATATTGAGCCTTTTTTCCATCAACATGGCCAAACATTAGCCCATTCACCAACTTACCAACCATTTACCAACCATTTACCAACCATTTACCAACCATTTACCAACCATTTACCAGGGTTAGAACCATACCCATTCTGCCAGATGCCATTTTTGGACCATTTTCTGCACCCCTCCATCGCAGCATCGCAGCCGTGGGGCTCTGAAGCTTCAAGGCGTACACCTCTGAGCTGCACACGTCCAACACCTGCGGTATCTGCTGGGGTTATGGATCTGTTTTTGCATCTAAGGACATTTAATATCTGTACAGTCGAGCTGTATATATGTATATAGATATATATATATATAATATTTATATTTATATTTATATTTATATTTATATTTATATTATACTATTTGTGTATATAGACACTTGTATGTACACATATAATTTGCAACATATTACTATTTCGTATCATTCTGTTCATATTCATATGTATTATATTTGTCTGTCTGTCCATCTGTCTGTTTGTCCGTCTGTCTATCAATTATTATGTATTTGTCCATTCATCCATCTACATATGTTCATTTTTGGAAACCTATTCAACCAACTGTCGATCTAACAACAGCTCTTATCGGTAGAAAAAATGAATTTGGGACTGTGCCAGCAATCCATCATTCATACAGGGTTCTCTTGAGCAAACGCCGTTTCAAGACAAACTAAATATCGGCTTCAACTTGACATGTTTGAACACTAATTAGGTTGAAACATGGAATAGCAATGAACCAGCAAAGTGGACCTGTTTAAGTATTCAACCAAAGCAAATCGGTCAAATCGACCAGTCAAATTTAGGGATACTCATGATTTGACTCAGACCATAGACAGTTCCGGCCATGTCAGCGCTGCTTTCTTCCCCGTAGGGCTGGACCCACTATCCTTTGGCAGGTCTCGTCCGGCGGCAACAAGAATCTGGTGGCCAATTCAACTGTGTGGTTTCACATTTTGGACGACCATGAAAAACTGCTCCGGCGCGCTGAGCATCATGGGGGATATTTTTCACACCGGTCGAGGAAGGGTACAAGCCACTATCACCACAACAACACCACCACCACCAACAACAACAACAACAGTAACAGTAACAGTATCGCCATGTGCAGCTTGGAGACTCCTAATTGCTTCATCAAAATGCTTGAACGTTGACGCGCAAAAAAGAACAAAGCATACACTGATGTCTCACTTTTCTTTGAAACCCTTCAACCATAAATTCATGCGGCTACTTTGTCCACCTAAGACTTCAAGAATTCAGCTAGGGCGATCTTTGATCGACGATCTTCGATCGACGATTTTCCATTGATTCGCAAAAACAAGCTGAAATCACACACAGGCGAGTCTTTCTGCAGCCGGGGATCGGTCAACAAGATGGTCAGCAAAAACGAATTAAAACCATGTACAGTAAAATCCTCACTTTGCTTCAGGGCTCATCAGCTGAACCAACTTTGACCCATCCGTTGCAATCCCGTCACCAAAGCTCTGCGTAGATCTTTGCCACACGGCCAATCCGCTTCCTGTGCTCTACGGGCAGAAAGTGCTCGTGGTTCAACGTCCGCCAGGTGACACCAGCACCAGCAGCACCAGCAGCACCAGCAGCACCAGGTCCTCGGGGATGGATCAAAGATCCATCCTGGGTGTCATATCCTATAAAATGGATCCAAAAATATGAATCGCATTGGGTTAAATAATGGAATATCATGGAATGTTGCCAACTGCAATAGGTCAATGCAACATTAGCAGATGAAGCAACGAAGCGTATCTAGACTGCCATTTTCAGAATTTCCGCCACTATGGTTGCCACCAATGGGGATGTCATGTCTACACTATGATCTGATTATATGACTGTATATGTATATTATATGTATATTATCCTGCTGGGATTATGCTGATGTCAACAAGTTGGCTGTAGCATGCTGTGGCCATTTTTTGGGAAATACCAGCCAGTTAGAGCAACACGTCAATGACTACACCATTGGGAGATACTTTGATATGTTTGGGGTCTCTTTCCACCAATTGTCCGGATTAAAACCATCAATGATCGCAGGGGTATCAATGTAGACGAGGAAAAATGAAACAGGTGAGACGATCCATGTCCCATGAGCAAACATCATCCTATCCCCCGATCAAGCCTCTCGGATGCAGCAAGCATAAAGCCCTTCTTTAAGCGGAAGACAAACCCGAAACCAATGATATCTTCTGAGCCACTTCAATTCAAGATTCTAAGATTCTATATTCGGATCATATTCGATCACGTTTGCATAAAAGAACTGCGTCGAGGTTAGCAGAAAATAGTGGCATGTTCATGGTCTCTGGGTCTCGACACGCTCGACAACATGAGATATTGCTGGATTTCTGGACTAGTCCAAGTGCAAACCGTTCTTATGGATACTTTGAGGTGTCTTGATTCACTCCACCAAACAAACATATTCACCAAACTTCACCAACATGGAATGCGGAATGCAGGAGGGTTTCAACTTAAGCATCTTCTGTGACTGGCACAAACACCGAGATCCAAATACGAAATTTTAAGTGGGGTTACAATATGTTACATTGGAGGTAGAATGGGGTTATAATCGACTTACGTATACTGATCATATACAGTACTGATACTTTAAAAATATTGAAAAGGTTGCGATACATGTGCTCGGTACGGAAATGACAATGGGATTACAATGGAGCTGTACTGGGGTGCAATGAATATATAGTTGGGAGTAGTATGAGGCAGCATTGAATCATCCTGGATCCTAAATCTAACCATAGCAAATCGATGTTCTGCTCAATCGCTTTCTGTACCAAGCCAAACAAAACTCAAACCCTCTACAAGAATTGGTATCTTTCCTGCCAAGGGATCTACCCTCCAATAATCAGACATAATCCTACAATTTCTTACTTATAGACACTTACAGAATCGTATGCTGGCTAAACCATTCAATTTCATCCAATTTCGGGGGCAAATACTTGGAGCCTATATAGATGAAATTCCTTCAAGTTGCCCGGCACATCTGCCAGGGACTCCAAGTCCATGTCGCAGCCAAAGAGAGCACCACCCAACGAACCCACCAAGACGGGGCAGAAGTTATCGGGCCCAGCAAACCTGGACAGGGCTGTAAGGTGGGCCAGCACTTGACGCTTTTATAGTTAACATATGTTATCATTGGCTAACATGTGTTCATAACTGGGGTTATATCAAGTATCATCAAGTTATATCCCCTTATGACCGGATTATGATGGATTATGGGATACTGTAATGAGATGATATGAATTACATGCAACCACTGAACCAACTTCGTGGCCAATCTCAGTGGGACCGAGAGTTGTTTGGCGCTTGTGCTGGTCTCTTGCTCAAAGTTGCTCAAAGTTCAACTTTCTGTGGGAGATCTTTAGTAAACCCATCTTTTTCGCCGGAAAAATGTCTAGATATAGGAGCATAATGAGCATATCGCCCAGAAAAATGCGATGTGATAGGACCCAAAAAAATGCTTGGGTAGACATGGTCCCGTCCTGGGTATCACTCAACACCACCCTGTCCCTTCTACGAGCGTCTCAAGACTGCCGTGCAAGGCATCTTCAAAGGATCTGCGGAGGATCCCATGAAGGCAAGGCAGGAATGGAGATGTTGAAGGGGGAACACCGGGAACACTGCAATTTTTGATTTGGGAAAATCACTGTGGAATACAAGCAAAAAGACTAATTTGTCGTTGCAAGCAAGGCCTTTTCAAGACTCCTTTGGTTTGTGGTGTGTCTTTCCAACTTCAAGAAGCAACATACAAACATGCTTCTGTCCAACTATCCACACACCCAGAGGCTATGAATTTCGAAGTGTGTGCGATTCCCTTAAACATCATAGCCCATAGCCGCATGCAACACCAAGTGAGGGGTCATCTCTATCATATCTTCATAAAAGGCAAAACCATCCATCTTTTCGTACATAAACTCTCGATTTACACAACAAATAAATCTATATAAATGGAACTGAATACTGAATAATGCTAATAGTCACTTTTCCCCATGGGTAATGAGGTGCTACATGTGCCACTAGATCCACTAGATCCACTTGCCAGTTGCCAGAACTTCCCCACCTGGCTGAGACCAAAAAGCACAACGCCGACTCCAGGACCAGCGGAGAAAATCCCTCGCGGTGCGTCGGCTGCGGCGGGTCGGCCTCGTCGGCCTCGCTCCAGGCGGAGAAGCGATGCAGGACGCGCAGCGTTTCGGGCGCGTCGAAGTCGTGGAGGTAGGGCAAGCAGCCTCAGAGGAGTCCTATAAGTTGCGTACAAACAATATGAAAAATGCAGTTAAGTGTGTATATATATATGTATGTATGTATGTATGTATGTATGTATGTATGTATGTATGTATGTATGTATGTATGTATGTATGTATGTATGTATGTATGTATGTATGTATGTATGTATGTATGTATGTATGTATGTATGTATGTATGTATGTATGTGTCTATGTATGTATGTATGTATGTAATGTCTTATCTATGTATGTATTATATTTATGTATGTATGTATGTCTGTATATGTATAATCTATATCTATATATATATTTGTATATCTGTCATTTTCTGTATGTATATGTATATGTATATGTATATGTCTATGTATACTCTATGTCATTTCTATGTCTAGTTGTATGTATATGAGTATCTTTCTATGTCTCTTGTCTGTCTGTACTGTCTAATCTGTCTATGTCTCTATCTCTGTTCTATCCTGTATGTATCTGGTATGTTCGTAGGTCATGTTGTATGTATGTATATGGAACATCGCCATCAAATATTGATTGCAGACCATAATATGTGTAGATATATACACACAATTGCGATGCATAAGGAGTACCGACCATGTCTCGTCTGTATCTGGCAATTTATGCTCTGATCCCCTGCCAAACCCATGGGGCTACCTGACTTCATGCCAGGGAAACCTGCCGCATCCTGTCGGTTCATTCCAGAGGGATGATAGGATTCCCCAATGACAAACCTGGATTTGGTTGACAAGGAATCAATACTCTTCAAATGTCATTATTAGTCTTACAGCAATGGATTTTATGCATGTTTATGCTACGTCAACTTTAACTACCATCCGTTCACAAAGTACCTCTTCAGGAAGGACGTGGAAGGACCAATTTCAACAGAAAATCCCGCCCATGCGTCAAGTTTTACCAGGATAGTTCTTCACATTCTTGCTCTTAAAACCTCAAAACTTTCTTAAATCCCAAATTGTCAAGAGTTTCTTAGTTGGGAGTCACTTCCCAGTTTTTATCAACTTTACTCAACCCCTTCACTCAACACAGTACCAGCGTTCCAAGGCTCCCCGGCACGCTGCGCAGATGCCTTCGCCACTCAGCAGCTGCCGCGCCAGCAGCGCCGCCGCCGCCGCCGTGGCCAGGGCCTCGCAGTGGCGGTGCGTCAGCCGCGCCTCGGCCACGGCGGCAGCCGCCAGCGACGCCAAAGCAATCCTCGGCCGAGAGGGTTGGGGAACATTGGCAAAACATCTGTGAACATATGTGGAAAAAAAATGGTATAACCAAATAATATCAAATATAATATCCAAATATATATATATATATGTATATAATATATATATACATATACAATTACATACCCATATTATTATCTGGGTACCTCCAAAAGTCTCATGGTTGGTCATAGACTTCCCTGATAAGACGAGCGACTTGGAAGTATCAGAGAAAGACCCACCACAAAGAAAAGTGCATGCTAAAACAAGAAAACCGCTATTTGAGATCCGTTGATGGTTCTGCCAAATGGATTCGACCCAGCAAAAGATTGGGGTTTAACCAAAAACAAAAGGGTGTTTACCAGGACAAATGTGGGGATTCAACTGGAAATATGTTGTGTTTTTGTGGGACAAATTGACATTCAAATTCCAGAAAAGTTGAGATGTAATCAGGAAACTTGTTGTATGGGGCCCATGGGGTGTGATAACCCCGACATGTTTCCACCAACAAACATGGGTGACCATTCCAGTCATTACTTTGAACCAGGAGGTTTGGATGGCCTCTTCATTTGCCATCGTTCCACACTTCGGGTCTTTTGCTGTTGGAGATGTGTAGTCTGTGTAGTAAAATCCAGCCGTTCTCACATGGCTAACATTAGATTTCCAAAACAGGGAATCTGAGTGGGATAGAACATGTTTCTTCATACCACGAACCAAGCATACGAAGGCCAATCCAGATCCCGGGACTCAAGGGATTGAGGAGTGAGCCGACCATGGTTAAAACATGTTAAAACATGTTTACGCAAACATAGGGTGAACCCTGTCGACACTGACAACCGAATTACTTCTGGATAAAGCCAACAAGGCAACTTTGGGCGACTGGGCCAAACTCAACAAAAATTGGATGGCCATAACTGGTTATGGTCAGAGTTTCAGATCCAAATGCGTCCCATGGCTCCCCGGTTGCATCGCCAACACCACGCTGCGATGTGCCGGGTTCACCCCGGCGGACTGGCGCCGCTCAAAGCTTTCGTCGGCTGCGCGGTGGGCCTGGGGTCAAGGAAAGTGAAAGGTGGTGGTGCCCCGTAGGCCCTTGGGTAGATAGCTAAGTTGGTTTGAAATTTCAATAACTATCATGAAACTTTCGTTTATGGTAGATGTATAGATATAGTTATATATATATATAGTTAATGCGGGCTATAAACCAACTTGCAGCTGGGGGCACCACCTCGTATAATATCGGAAGGTTCTCGTGGTTGAAGCGATTGTTCAACGTGGTGCTCTGTTAGCTGCTATTTATATCGAAAATATTATCTAAAATTATGTGGAATCATACATGTATATATATATATATATAATCTCACCATACAATGATAATTTCAGGATTGTTCGATTGTAGTTACATTTAGCCTGGTTGACATACAGGATCTAATAGGAACTAATAGAATTGTACATGGGATTATGCATGTGATTGCAATGTTCATGGTAGAGGTTTAGTGGGCATATGGTCAGTGCTATGACATGTACGGGGCCATCAACATGAACGTCCAGCAAAACACCGCCGGTTTTGATTTCACGTCTCAGACCGTCCCTCAGTCATGAGGTTTGCTCTATATATTTTTATTGGCCACAATGAACAAACTATACGTATAAATGTAGCATGTGTATATGGGTTCACTCTTTCGCTCAATGCGATTTTATCTCTCTCTATGTATATATATATATCCATTGGTGCAACCCACAGCTATTTGTTTGAGTTTGACCAGCAAACATCGGGGGTTGAATCATCAAAACTCAGGATTTGCACCAGAAGATCCCTATTTTTGGCAGGATCATTCCCAATTCTATCCATGTTTTTACTGGCTTAGCTCCACATTGATGGGCAATCTCCCAAGTTTAAGGTTGTTTAAGATTGCATGATGATAATCACCAACACCAAACTGACACACGATGGTTTTAGATGGCCTTTGGGGCAGTTCCATTTAATAAGTTTACATGTGCTGGTTATACAGTTATTAACCTAATATATCCCCATGAAAATGATTAGTTGTGTGCCAACATCAACGATGATTATCCTAACAACATCTCACGACCATTTTATAGTATATGTAATGATAGTTGATGTGGGAAAAGACTCATCATTTTACAGTGTGATGGTCAACTATCACTACCCTCTTGTAAACTAACATAGCTATGGAAACTGGCCAGTGAATTGACCTTTGAAGAAGGGTGATTTATCATAGCCGTATTAGTTTACCAGAAGGTAACGAACCATGTCGATGGTCGCGTTGGGCCAAGACACAGCCTTCAGCAGCATCTCGTCACTGTCCTCCGTGTCCACGCGGCTGGAGACCTTCCGCAAGACCTCTGGCATTTCCAGGGGCTAACATTGTCGGGCCTAGGGAAGGTTGTTTATAAGTAGGCTAACTCAGGTTTTTGATAGATAACTACATCATATGTATATATATATTATTACATATCAGACAGATTTCTGTCTATAAATTACAGTTTACAATTAGGGGTCATCACTTTGTACTTGGTGCGCATCCAAGTTGTAGAAAAATGGTTCCAACATGTTCCAACCATTGGTGCTGAATGTTGATATTGTATGTGTATATTTATATATATATATATACATATATATATAATGAAGTATAATATGATATAGACCCGTGTTAAGTATGGGGGTACCCTCCTTAAATAGTGATTTTATATGATACATAATTATGGTACTCCCCATTACTAAACAGCCGTTTGGGGTTTATCATACAGGGTTGACATTACTCTATGATTGGAATCACTCAGGGCTTCCCCTCCAATCCACAATGCGGTTGAGAGTTTTACCCTCCGCCAATCAGCGAAAATGGCCTCCTGGAACATACCCCAGGGTTTAGCCACGTTTCACTGTTGGTTCGTGAAAATCCCATATTATCAAATTACCATCTGGTTATGACTAACATAGCCATGGAAAATGGCCCATTTATGGATGGTTTACCTATTAAACATGGTGATTTTCCATGGCTATGTTAAATAACCAGAGGGTATATCTATATAAAGGATTTAAAAGGTATGTCTGTGCAGGTGGCCTCCCATGTTGGGGTTTCACTTGTTGATAGTTCAGATCTCGTATCGTTTCAGATCGCATAATACTTTTCCGACTCATGGACTGCAAAGGGTCATTCAACTCAATTGCATGTGAAATAGATGATAGGGCCCACATTGGCCCTTTAGCAGTCAGATGCAGTCAGGATTCATGAAAAACTACCCACTGGGCCACTGGATAATGAATACCCTCTGGTAAACTAACATAGCTATTGAAAATGACCATTTATAGTGGATTTTCCCATTAAAAATGGTGATTTTCCATAGCTATGCTAGTTTACCAGAGGGCAATGAGTGTGGAAAAACCATGTAAAACCCATCAAGAAATATCTGTGAGGGTGAGGTCATCGCAGGGCATCATCATTCCAGGATGGAAACGCGTTTGAAACTATGAACCGCGCATTTTTAGCTTGGTTACAGTAGAATGCCCCAAATATAATCCAAATATGGCCTATACTTACCCCATACAAAAAAGTACTCTACTTTCACTGATTGACCACCAATCTTTGTCACATTTTGTCACCAACTAGGTACCTTCCCCTCCAACAAGCCTCTTGGAAAACGACACCCGTGTCATACGCAACATCGTACCTTGGATTTGCTTCACTTCGCAATCTCAGCTGGTTGGAAAATCAACAAATTGGAGATGATTTTCCGATACATTCCCGCTAAAAGTGAGGATTGACGAGGATTATACATTGTTATGGTTACAGTACCGGATGGTATTTGGCATTCTATCAGTGTTGCTGGTAGGGTTACCCAGTAATTTGACCAGGTAAATCCTCCTTATGGTTACAGCATCGGTCTTGTTTGTCACTGATCCCCATCATTTCTCATGATGACATCCATGGGATCAATGATCTAAATGTCATGTTGTCTTACTTCATGGGACCATTTTGAAATATGGCTATGAGTCAAAACCCTGGTACCCGGATGGTACCCTAAGTTGGCTTATGGATGTTTATTCCCCCAAAACATGGTAAATCATGGTAATACTATAGGTTTTGACCCATCCCCATATGTTGAAAGCTGAAACCCCCCAGTTGGCGATTGCACTCAGCGCGAAACGCCTGTTGCACCCTGGATGCTCCGACGGCCCTGCAAAGCGGGCATCGCCGCACCAGGCGAGGTAACGGCGGAGCAGGCCACTCAGGCCTGGGTGGGTGGTACTTGGTGCGGGACCCAATTTTTGTGGATTCTCTGCGTAAATAACTATAATATAACTATAACTATAACCTATACCTAGGGTAATCTGAGGTATAATGATGTGGGATTTTCCATGTAGAACTGGTTTTTTTTTCTCACTCTTTTATGGGATGATTTCAGATGGTCACTACATGGCACCCGCACTGGGATCCACATCTAAAAATGGTGCTTGGCAGATGGAAAAAAAGCAGAAGTGGGATGGTTTTATCCAATTTTCATCAGCAAAAGAAAAATATCAGAACTGGTGGTGTTTAACGTTTTTCGTCAGTTACAGTCGTTCCTAGGTTTTGTCATGTCATTCCTCAGGTCTTCACCATGGCCAAAACCCAAGGGTGATCACCCTCAGATATGACATATTCTTTAGAATCTTTAGAATTGATCAACTGTTTGCAAATTCTGTGCCAGATGCTCTTTGACAAAATCCACATGAAACAACTACGACAGACTACATCGTGATATTCAAGTCATGTCCTTTTGACGTGCAGGTCGCAGGAGATATGGCAAAATCCCCTTTTTTATCCGTAATAAATTGGAATCATGGTGTAATTCCATCAAAGGAATCATTCCACCATTATTGTATTGATAATTGACATATATATATAGATATTATATAATTATATATATATGTGTGTCATATATATATAATTAAATAATATTATATATATATATTGACATGATATCTCCTCATCATCATATCTCCATAAGAAGCTTGGTTTGTCCCCAGCTATTGACCCGCATCAAGGTAGAGACCCGGTTCTAAACCGTGGGATGGAAAGTAGCCCAAATGTTCAGACAAACCCAACGGTAAGTTAGCTAGTAACTAGCTAGGCTAGTGGCATATCTACAGTTGGATAGGGTTTTAATAGGTTTAAAAGTATCCATCCGGTTTGTAATGAGCTGCAGGATATGGATATCCATCCATGAAATCCCCAAAGTGATGGCGAAATCTGCCTAATCCATAAAAAAATCCCCAGATTACCTAAGGTAACCCTCCTGTAGTCGTTAACGGATCCCCATTAAATCCCGTTTATTTGCCCAGTCCTATAATTACATCCCTATAATATCCCTGTTGTTGGTAAGTTGTATCCACTGGATGGATACTATAATTGATGGTTGCAGTAAATCCTCAAAAGATCCACATTAAATCACCATTAAATTCCACCAAACATAGTTTCTACAGTAAGTTATATCCCGCTTATATCACCACTGGGTATCTATGTCCCGTTAAGCCCCATTGTTGACTATAACCTATCTCCCTCCACTAATGGTTGATTTATCCAGATTGACAAAATTGATCGGTGTATCCCCATTGTTGATCATAACCTATCATTGAGCACTGCGACTACATCTCTTTGTTGGCTAAATCAAGTTACAGTGGTTAATGGTAGGTGTTCATCCCATTGTATACATCCCATTAGGTCCCATTAGGTCCGGCTTAAAAGTATTATCCATGGATGTGGGGCACCCAATAATAAACCTGCATGTTTTAATAATGTATAGCATCCATAGAAACGGTGATGACTTGGGGATTGTGTATGGCCTTGGGTTTACCACGTTACATCCCCATTGATTAATCCATATTAATCCCCATTAGGCCCATTAGGTCTGTGATAGGTTTGCAGGTAAAAATCTCATCTTTGGGTTACCCTCTGGTAAACTAACATAACTATGGAACATCACCATTTTTAATGGGAAAATCCACTATAAATGGCCATTTTCAATAGCAATGTTAAATTACCAGAGGGTAACATGAATAAACCATGGTTAATCACCATTTTTAATGGGAAAATCCACTATAAATCACCATTTTCAATAGCTATGTTAGTTTACCAGAGGGTATTATTGGGTTGACCATGGTTTCCCACATCCCAAGTTGATCAAGTCACAGCTTTCCAGCGTTCCAAAGGCCAAATCGCACGTTGCGAAGGCTTCCGCCACGCGCAGCGCCATGCGCTGCGGTCCGCCGTTGCGGTCCCCGGCGCAGAGACCCAGCAGGAGACCAACGCTACGGGAACGAGGGCTGGACATGACTGGAAATCGAGGAAACACAGGTGGTTAATTTATATGGATTTATAGTGATTTATCATGGATTTATAATGTACTGATTTATAGTGATTTATAGTGACTTATCATGATTCAGCATGGATTTCCATCCAAATGGATGTATTTATCATGGATTCATAATGAATTCTCCATCCAAATATCCGCAAGATGTTGTGTTTTAATGCATATGTTGGTAGATGTGATTGGGTTCTCCACCAAATCTTGGGATTTCATCTATCAAAACTGGGTCGCTGTGCTATCCATTTAAGAGAACATCAGGCTACATACCCATCAACATGGAAAACAAAATGAACTTATTGCAGTATCCTGTTACTCTGTTCCACAAAAAAGTGGATTCTGCCATCGCTGCCAAGATGGTGGGAAAATTCAGTGGTGAAATGAGAAGATATCCCAAGAAACAACAAATAGATACACGACACACACAACTAAGAAACTAGATGAAACTAGCCTATATTTACCAGGTAAACAGGACATTCTGAGTCAGCACAATAACAAAAATGGATGTCACCTGTCACCAACAACGTTGGAGGTATACCTAGCAAACATATGTGTGTTGATATTGAGCAAGAAAACTGTGAGGTGTCCCCTCTTAACATCACCCAACCACCTGAGCAACCATGCTAGAGGTGATTAATGGTGATGAGTATGGTTGCGGTAGAGATTCTATATAACGATTTTTGGCGTTCTGTCGGCATGGTTCAGTTCAGGAACATCATGGAACATCCATTTTAATGGTTCAAAGTGTCATTTTAATGGTATCCATCCATTTTAATGGTTCAAAGTGTCATGAAAATCAAATCTTTCACAAACTTCCAAAATCAAATCTAAATGAAGATATTTGTCCTCTGGTTTCACCATTTGGAGTGACTGAAATCCCCACCAAATTCAGACCTAAAATCACCTGTGATGACCCATGTAATTCTTGAAAAAAAGCTCGAGCCACAACAGCTAGGTGTGGTGGCCAAGCCACCAAGAAGATCAAGGTCACTTCGAGATATGCTTCAAAAAGCAATCATTTATTTGTTGGGTTTGAAACATGTCACCAGCAACAAGTCCATCCAAGTTTGCTTCATAGAAACACATCCAAAATCATCCACATGTGGATTGAAACTGGTGGATTGAAACGTGAGTTGAAACCTTTCCACCTTTTTTATTTAACTCGTTTTGCATATCAGTTATCCACTTCCCCAGGTTCCCTTGATTCCAAAACCCGCCTTAAAAACCTTGCCAAAGGCGCCGGCACCAAGGACGCCCTTGGTAGCTGGAGTGTGGTCGGGCACATCGGCATGTTGATAATAATTGCTATATTACTAACATAGTGTTAAAGGCTATATAATTATTAACAATGATATATTATGATATATAGATATAAGTGTTAATCAATAATGATACCTTAGTATTATATATAATATATATAGTAATGTATAATAGTTACTAGTTGTTGTAATCTGGGTAAATTATAGTGTTTCACTAACCTGAAATAAGGCAAGGCCATTAAATTTGGGGATGATTCCTTGAATCCTAACCATGATTCCAGGGTTCGGTCACAGTGACGTCACTATAATTTGCCCAGATTGTAATGGATAGTAATAGTTGTTGATAGTTATTATTCATCTAATGATGGATATTAATGGTATATTACTAACATCAACTTATTAACATATACTGTTGTTGTCAATGTTATCTCCATGGGTCTTATCATATCATGATCATGATGCTGAGGATATAGCTTAATAATTGGTTTCATACCCACTATTCATCGGCTGGCAAAACCACCAACCAGTCGAATATATCATGGCATGAGGGTAAATCCCCCATGTTGGGACACATGTTTATCGAGTGTTGGTTTTACATATATGTTACAGTACATTCCCAAATCTACAGAAATATCCCCAATACAATATATGTAGAACCTATACCCAATACATTTCAACCATAGTTATATACATTTATACATGTGTATAGTACAGTAACCAATAAAGAGATGGAACACTAGTTCCTAGTTTAACCGCTATTTTAGGAGGATATTGCTTTTCGATGCTTTTCGATCTTTTCGGAAAATGTCAAACTGTACATGCGTGTACGAGTCAATCCGGACGTTGCAACGTCTCTATCTGTATTTTTAGGAGTTTGCTAGATATACCTCCCCAAATAATGATTCGGTTTAAAATATCGTGATTTAGATATAATGATGCTATACATCTGCAATGATTGATTTTAGTTAGTTATATATCATTATAATTCATTATACATATCCCTAAACAGTAAATTAAATTAACTAAATATATTCAAATGTGTGGTTATGTGTGGTTGATAAACCCCAACAAAACTCAATGTGTGGTTGAAATATGTCAACCCCGCCTGGGTGCGCAGCGTCGTTAGCTGCGGCGACTCAGCTGGCGCCTCGTTGTCTAGCACCTGCAGACGGCTGATCGAAAAAATTGTGAAGAAATGGAGGAGAATGGTGCGTTTAATGGGATTTAGATGGGATTTTCACTTCTTCAACCAACGAAAATATTAATGAAAATGCTGATTTGATCATTTGTTTCATACAGATATGGTTTTCCATGCCTCAAACGCAAATCCTTTTCTGGGTGAAATGTCCATGGGATTTCCATGGATTTCCATCTTCCCGGAGGTCAGCCATTGTTCGCCATGGCGGAAGCGCCTCAGCCATCTGCTCGCCTATGCCAGTGGTGAATAAGAAGCCTGGCTTGTCACGGAGGTAACAGCAGGGGCCTTCATGCTATTTATGATGTGACTCTAGATCAAAAGCCCATATATCAATAGCTATGAATCGATGTTCATAGTTCATTCAATTCATTCTTGCCACATTGCCGAAGCAACAGAACAGCAAACAGTCAAGACTTCTGATCGTCTCAGAGCTTTCCGCTCACATCTAGTCAGAAATCTTCCTCCCAAGATAGAGGAAAAACAATTTTAGCTGTGGCAAAAGTTCTCCGTTGTCGTGCGCCTCGTCCAGGTCATTACGAACTTGGACAAGTACACACATACATATATTATCATACATATCTATATATGTATGTATATATACGCATACAACCTGGTTGAGAAACTCAGCATCCGAATTATTTGATGGCGTTTAATGGCCCCAAGTTGGGGTACCGTCTACCCAATTTCAGAACAAACCCTTGACAACTTAACATCCCTTAACTAATCATTCAACCATCAACCCCACTTACATCCCGTGTATAAACCCCATGATGTAGAAACCCCCGGTAGATACCATGAAATATGTGATTCTATGATATGCCCATCCATAGCTATCCATATCATCAGGCCATATAGGCAACAGGCCCTGATCCGCTGGACCTGTGAGGCTTCTGCTGGTGCCCACGTGTTTGGAGGCCACCAGAAAGCGACTTTTGCTATTCCTTGGAGGATTTCGATCTGCGGCTTCCAACGGCAGCAACTCATGGCAAACTGGATACCACTACTATAGCTTATAGGAGAATACTGGCTATGTATATGGTTAATATATAGTTAATATATGGTTAATATATGGTTATGTAAATTTCAATTCTGGCTATGCTCAAATCTCTACTCAATACTGTATTCTTGTACCAAATTTGGGCAGTTGCTGGGTCAAGTAATTGACCAATGATGGTCAAGAGCCCCACTGTCTGCTCTAGTCATACTTTCCTGAGCCTTCTTTGTGAATCGGTTTCAAATACCATGGATCTGTTAGAACCACAGCGTTCCCGGTGTACCCGTCATCTTTCATCAACAGTAGGAAAAGGGCCCACTTTCTCCATTCAACAGGCAGCCTTAACCCAGCTGTCTTAGTTACATAATATAACATAATATAACTAGCAAGGGCTGCTTAGTAGGTATGACTAGTCGGATATAATGATTGCTACCTTCCAGTTGACCATGACTGGCAAACCCAATCATGAACTATGCCTAATTGTTTGTTTTTGATGCAACTGGTAAACTGATATTCCAAAACTGAAATGTAATGAAACCCTTTCCTGGATTCGTGTGTTGGTTGGGAATAAAAGCAATTTCTGCCAGATCATTCGATTCTGAGCATTATCTCCCTGAGTCTGACTAGGAAAAAAAGATCTGGTCCCTCCAAACCCCAGTAATTAATGTGGTTAAAGCAATGTCCCCAAAATCACCATAAATGGGTGGTATAGAACATGAAACTATGGGTGGTTTATTCTTGCTTTACTAACATTATACCATAAACCTGTGCACTCCATTGATTTTCACAATACCCGACCCACCCCTGGGCGCATCCCCGTCAACTCGCCGCAACTCGACCCTGCCGAAGCACTTCAAGACTTCCCCGAAGACGCTTTGAGCAGCACCGTGCAACTCGCCCGAGATACTCCTGTGAGTCCAATGATGTACTCATAACTTGGGTTGGAATTGGATGGTAGGAGGGGACTAGAAATGGGGGTTATCAAAATAAACATGTACGTGTATGTATATATATATATTACATATGTATGTATCATATATATATATATGATTAATTATAATTATATATATAATATATGTGTGTGTAGAGAGAGAGAGACACAAACATGTATGTGTATACATGGATATTCATAGTGATATATACTCAAGGTCCAAATCCTTTGCTGATTCGACCCGTGTCTATGTGAACATTAAGGTATAGTTATTGCTGTACCAAAGTAACCTTATGACAAATATCACATGTATCCATTTCCACAAATGGGCTAAATGATCTACATTACAAGTACAAGTGCTATTTCTCCAGCAAGACCATGTCTCCATAATAAATAATGTCAGAATATGTCAAAATCATTCAACATCAACCTGCGGCCAATGACTCACCTTGAGCTCAACACATATTTTTGGATTGATATTGGCATATAAACATTGGAAATTCCAACGAGTTGCCCGCTGAGATCTTTGAGTACCCCTCCGGTCCAGAAAACTCCATGGAATCTATGAATCCCACCTGGTGGGCGATAACTGCGACATCTGAGAAGATAAGCTCCGCTTCAGGTCTGGTTGATGCCTCGGGGGTAAGCCCGGTAAGCCCTAAAGATCAGGTCGCAGGTTGAGATATGGAGGTTTCCTAAATGGGGGGTAACCCCAAATCATCCATTTTAAATCATTTTAATAGGAAGTTCCATTATAAACCATCTATTTTGTGATACCCCCATTTTAGGAACCTCCATATAGAAAAAAGATGGAAAAAAGGTACCAAACCATGGTTCGGTATAGACTTTATGCATTCTTTGAGAACCATTTAGGGAAGTCTGATACTGGGGGGAGGCAATTACTCTACGGTTGGACATTGAACATCCCCAACCCATAAGCATAACCCCCAAAAAGTAATGTAACGGAAAAAGGTAAATGGTAAGATAAGCTGTGCTTTGCGCAGTCTTGGCTTTACCAAGCTGGCAACCGTTGCTCAGTCACATCCCCACGCCAAGATGCTGGAATTCCGCTAGCCTCAGCAGGGCGCCGACATGGATGACCCTACAAATCTCAACAAAGTCATGTGGGAATCCATGAAACCGTCATGAAACCCCTGTTGTTCCAGGTTTTGTAAAGCCCCCAGATCCAAATGGTGTAATAGTATGTAGTCCAACTTACAACTGGGCACCAGATTGTGGGTCCCAGGCGATGGGATCTCAAGTTTGACGCAAAAAATCGTGAGCCAAAAAGGAAAATATTCGTCAAATGGGATCATCATCCTAATCCTAATCATGGTCATAAAAAATGACATCCTAATCATTGTCATAAAAATAGTGAGCCATCCTAATCATCATCCCCAGAAAAATCTTCGGCCTTGGGACATCAATCGTGACCCAGAGACAAGTGGCTCATCCACCAGCTTGCAGGACTTTTCCACAGCTTCCAGCAGTTGCAAGGGCCGTTGTCCCAGCTGATTCACCTGCGCCGCACACTCCAAAAAGTCTCCTGACGGCTGGGGGAAGCCCGGCACCACCAAGTTGGATTGTAACATGTATTAAACTTGACTACTTTGTGTATATAATATATATATATATAATATTATATATGATATATGATTGTACTAAACCATTCATGTTGCAATATCCAATCTTGACCCATATTCAAATGGTTGTTCCTTACGGAAATATGTTCATAGATGTTGGTGAAGTCAGTGGGCACCATTCATTTCCATCAACCATCGGACGGAGGGATAATCAACCGGTACGTTCCCTCTTGTAATGGCCATGGAGCGTGCTTTGATGGATTTACCCTCTGGTAAACTAACATAGCTATTGAAAATGGCCATTTATAGTTGATTTTCCCATTAAAAATTGTGATTTTCCATAGCTATGTTAGTTTACCAGAGGGTATTTGATTTATTGGCAACCTGTTAAAGCATCTCCTACTGTTTTGATAGGATTAGGCCATACATCCCCCAAAACCATGCAAGCAGTATGAGTTTTGAGGTGTACCTTTTCGTGAAACTCCACATAATTACAACCAGCAGACCTCGAAAGGGGTGTCAATTTCTTATGGGTCTGGGAAATCTCAATCACTCTATCTGCAGACCTTTGTCGAGCTGGAACCACGGAACCACGTGTATCTTCCCTACAGTACATCCCTTTTTTTATCTCTCAACGTTTCCCGGTGAAAAATCTCGGTGATATGCTTCGTGTTGATAGCCTCAGATTTCACGTGGAGTATGACACTCCATAAATGCTGAAGGTTCATCAAGTTCTCCGTTTCCCAATTGTCATCCCCAGAGGTTGAAGGTAAAAATCCATAAAAATCCATATTCTGGGGCCTCCAAACCTTGCCGAATGATTGGTGTAGTTTTCCCCTAAAACCAATTAATTGATATTAATTGATTCATGGCTACAACATGTTACAACCATACTGGTTTCACCACCAGCTCTCCTCGCAGCACGCAGGGCGCATCCACGGGCGGGTGAAGCAACACGCGGATACACCTGGCTTTTGGTCCACCGCATCAACGCTGGCTTTTGGTCAGTTGGGATCATCAAAGTCCAAAGTTTGTGCACATGGCATGACTATCACTGGTTGGTGGTTTCAACCCCTCTGAAAAATACTAGACGACGGTTGGCCCGAGAGCGAAAAAGACGTTTTTCAAGCAGCTCTGAGTATGGTAGTCGTAAAAAATAGTCGGTGATAGGTTGGTGAATTTTATATGAGCTATGGAGGGGTAAGTTGTGAAAAGTAAGATTGATTAAGAAGAGGATACATGTGACAACCCATGCATATGCACTGTGCTGCTTGGTAAAGGGCATCATATGACACGTGTCTTGCAACCACAGAGAGACATAGATAGAGAGAAAGAGAGAGAGAGAGAGAGAGAGAGAGAGAGAGAGAGAGAAAGAGGGAGAGAGAGAGAGAGCAGGGTCTTCTGTTGTTAGTATTGAGACACTATATTGCAAGACAATATATTAAAGATGTATTTTAGGCAGGCGAGACAAGTAGTATCAAGACAATATATTACAAGTACAAAACACTAGTTTGCATCCTATCCTTCGTATTGTTTTTCACACGCAGACGCTTTTGCACAGAAGCTGTTACACACAGACGCATTTACACACAGACGCTTTTACACACAGAAGCGTTTACACACAGACGCTTTTACACACAGAAGCTTTTACACACAGAAGGTTTTACACGCAGACACTAGACACTTTTACACACATAGGCTTTTACACACAGACGCCTTTACACACAGACACTAGACACTTTTACACGCATAGGCTTTTACACACAGACGCTTTTACACGCAGATGTTTTTAGACACACACACTTTCACACACAGAAGCTGTTACACACAGAAGCTTTTACACACAAACACTTTCACACACAGAGGCTTTTACACAGAGGCTTTTACACACAGACGCTTTTACACACAGAAGCTTTTACACACAGACTCCTTTACACACAGACGCTTTTACACACAAACACTTTCACAGACGCGTTTACACACAGAGACTTTTACACACAGACGCTTTTACACACAGACACTTTTACACGCAGACGCTTTTATACACAGGCGCTTTTACAGGCAGATGCTTTTACACACAAACACTTTCACAGACGCTTTTACACACAGAGACGCTTTTACACACAGACGCTTTTACACACAGACACTTTTACACGCAGACGCTTTTACACACAGGCGCTTTTACACGCAGTGCTTTTACGCACAGAAGCTTTTACACACAGACACTTTTACACACAAACGCTTTTACACACAGACCTTTTACACACAGACGCTTTTACACACAGCTTTTACACACAGACGCTTTTACACACAGAGGCTTTTATACACAGAAGCTTTTACACACAGAGGCTTTTACACACAGAAGCTTTTACACACAGGCGCTTTTACACACAGACGCTTTTACACACAGACAGCTTTTACACACAACGCTTTTACACACAGACGCTTTTACACACAGACCCTTTTACACACAGACGCTTTTACACACAGAGCTTTTACACACAGACGCTTTTACACACAAACGCTTTTACACACAGACGCTTTTACACACAGACGATTTTACACACAGACGCTTTTACACACAGACGCTTTTACACACAGACCCTTTTACACACAGACGCTTTTACACACAACCGCTTTTACACACGGCACTTTTACACACAGACACTTTTACACACAGACGCTTTTACACACAGACGCTTTTACACACAGACACTTTTACACACAGAGGCTTTTACACACAGAGGCTTTTACACACAAACGCTTTTACACACAGAAGCTTTTACACACAGACTCTTTACACACAGACGCTTTTACACACAGACGCTTTTACACACAGAAGCTTTTACACACAGACTCCTTTACACACAGACGCTTTTACACACAGAAGCACGCTTTTACACACAGACACTTTTACACACAGATGCTTTTACACACAGACGCTTTTACACACAGACGATTTTACACACAGACGCTTTTACACACAGACCTTTTACACACAGACGCTTTTACACACAGACGCTTTTACACACAGACGCTTTTACACACAGACGCTTTTACACACACCTTTTACACACAGACGCTTTTACACACAGACCCTTTTACACACAGACGCTTTTACATACAGACGCACTTTTACACACAGACACTTTTACACACAGACGCTTTCACACACAGACACTTTTACACACAGACACTTTTACACACAGACGCTTTTACACACAGACGCTTTTACACACAGACTTTTACACACAGACGCTTTACACACAGACGCTTTTACACACAGAAGCTTTTACACACAGACGCTTTTGCACACAGACGCTTTTACACACAGCTTTTACACACAGAGGCTTTTACACACAGAAGCTTTTACACACAGGACACTTTTACACACAGACAGCTTTTACACACAGACGCTTTTACACACAGACGCTTTTACACACAGACACTTTTACACACAGACGCTTTTACACACAGACGCTTTTACACACAGACACTTTTACACCACAGACACTGTTAACACACAGACGCTTAACACAGGACGCTTTTACACACAGGAAGAAGCTTTTACCACACAGACGCTTGTACCACACAAAAGCTTACACAACAGCGGTTTTACACACAGACGCTTATACACGGCAAGATGCGTTTACACACGCACACACCGCCTTTCACACAAACAACTTTACACCAGCACGTGTGACACACACACACTTTCACACACAAACGCTTTTACGCACAGACGCTTTTACACACAGACGCTTTTACACACAGACGCTTTTACACACAGACGCTTTTACACACAGAAGCTTTTACACACAGACTCCTTTACACACAGAGGCTTTTACACACAGAAGCTTTTACACACAGGCGCTTTTACACACAGAAGCTTTTACACACAGACTCCTTTACACACAGACGCTTTTACACACAGACGCTTTTACACACAGACGCTTTTACACACAGACGCTTTTACACAAAAGCTTTTACACACAGACGGTTTCACACACAAAAGCTTTTACACACAGACGGTTTTACACACAGACGCTTCTACACGCAGACGCTTTTACACACAGCCCCTTTTACACACAGACGCTTTTACACACAACCGCTTTTACACACGGCACTTTTACACACAGACACTTTTACACGCAGACGCTTTTACACACAGACGCTTTTACACGCAAAAGCTTTTACACACAGACGGTTTTACACACAGACGCTTCTACATGCAGATGCGTTTTACACACGCACACACGCTTTCACACACAAACACTTTTACACACAGACGCTCCTCTGTGTCACAATGCATTGATCCCAAGTTTGCCACCTAGCGCAATATCATGCGGTTTTACCAAAAGCTAGCTGCAAACCATCGAATGACTGCCACACACTGACATCCCCAGCTCAGAAGCTAAAGCCTTCAATGCATTGATCCCAAGTTTGCCACCTGGCGCAATATCATGCGGTGCAAAACATCGAATGACTGCCCACACTGACATCCCCAGCTCAGAAGCTAAAGCCTTCAATGCATTGATCCCAAGTTTGCGCACCTGGCGCCGGAAGGGATCAACTCCTCCCTCTGTCAAGCCTTGTTGCAACTCTCGGACCTTCTCGGACATATCCGGTTGCAGCGAACCCAGAGTAACACCTTATAGACGCCAAGCGCGATACAAATCTCGAACCAATAGCTGCGCCGACCAGCTTCATGCTTTGACGAAGAAAAGGAACACAAGCTTGCAGTTGAAACTCGCAAAATCATGCGGTTTTACCAAAAGCTAGCTACAAAACATCGAATGACTGCCACACACTGATGACAACATGCAGCAGGCCTCCAAAATCTCCAAAGACGAGCACCACGGCCACCAAAAGAAGCTCTGGAAATGCTTACAGTCATGTTTGCTCGGACAGTTCAGGGGGGAGCAGGGTCTTCTCTTGTTAGTATGGAGACGCAATATTAGAAACGATATATGAAAGCTCTGTCATAGGCAGTCGAGAAGAGGAGTATCAAGACAGGATAGTGAGAAGTGCAAGACAATAGTTTGCATCGCAAACACTTTTACAAACAGACGCTTTTACACTGACGCTTTTACACACAAAGCTTTTACCCACAGAAGCTTTTACACACAGAAGCTTTTACATACAGAAGCTTTTACATACAGAAGCTTTTACACACAGAAGCTTTTACACACAAACACTTTTACACACAGACGCTTTTACACACAGACGCTTTTACACACAGCCACCTTTTACACCCAGACGCCTTTACACACAGACACTTTTACACACAGACGCTTTTGACACACAGACGCTTTTTACACACAGACGCTTTGACACACAAACACATTTACACACAGACGCTTTTACACACAGACGCTTTTTACACACAAACGATTTTTACACACAGACGCTTTGACACACAAATACATTTACACACAGAGGCTTTTACACACAAACGCTTTTACACAAACACTTTTACACACAGACGCTTTGGCACACAGACGCTTTGACACACAGACGCTTTTACACACAGCCACTTTTACACACAGACACGCTTTTACACACAGACGCTTTTACACACAGACGCTTTTACACACAGACGCTTTTACACTTTGCCGATCGACCCTCATTTGCTGCGAAAGGGTTGCTCCGGAGCAAGTAAAATCGCAATTTTACCTCAGTTTTTGCCGATCGACCTTCATTTCGTGCGAAAGGGTTGCCGTAGCACAAGTAAAATTGCAATTTTACCTCAGTTTTTGCCGATCGACCCTCATTTCGTGCGAAAGAGTTGCTCCGGGACAAGTAAAATCGCAATTTTAGCTCAGTTTTTGCCGATCGACCCTCATTTCGTGCGAAAGGGTTGCTCCGGGACAAGTAAAATCGCAATTTTACCTCAGTTTTTGCCGATCGACCCTCGTTTCGTGCGAAAGGGTTGCTCCGGGACAAGTAAAATCGCACTTTTTTACTCAGTTTTTGCCGATCGACCCTCATTTCGTGCGAAAGGGTTGCTCCGGGACAAGTCAAATCGCAATTTTACCTCAGTTTTTGCCGATCGACCTTCATTTCGTGCGAAAGGGTTGCTCCGGGGCAAGTCAAATCGCAATTTTACCTCAGTTTTTGCCGATCGACCCTCATTTCGTGCGAAAGGGTTGCTCCAGGGCAAGTCAGATCGCAATTTTACCTCAGTTTTTGCCGATCGACCCTCATTTCGTGCGAAAGGGTTGCTCCGGCACAAGTCCAATCGCAATTTTACCTCAGTTTTTGCCGATCAATCCTCATTTCGTGCGAAAGGGTTGACGTTTCGTGACTCGCCGCCGGCACCACCCTCGGCCTTAAGAGAGAAAGATAAAAAGAAGGCGTGAGAGAGAAGGTGAGCAGGTGTGAAGATAAGAAGATGTGAAGATGAGCAGATGTGAAGATGAGCAGATGTGAAGATGAGCATATGTGAAGATGAGCAGATGTGAAGATGAGCAGATGTGAAGATGGGAAGGTGTGAAGATGAGCAGATTTGAAGATGAGAAGATGTGAAGATGGGAAGGTGTGAAGATGAGCAGATGTGAAGATGAGCAGATGTGAAGATGAGCAGATGTGAAGATGAGCAGATGTGAAGATGAGAAGATGTGAAGTTGGGAAGGTGTGAAGATGAGCAGATGCGAAGATGAGCAGATGTGAAGATGAGCAGATGTGAAGATGAGCAGATGTGAAGATGAGAAGGTGTGAAGATGGGAAGGTGTGAAGATGAGCAGATGTGAAGATGGGAAGGTGTGAAGATGAGCAGATGTGAAGATGGGAAGGTGTGAAGATGAGAGGATGTGAAGATGAGCAGATGTGAAGATGAGAGGATGTGAAGATGAGATGTGAAGATGAGAGGATGTGAAGATGAGATGTGAAGATGAGAAGATGTTTGACAGACCCCCACTATTGGAAGAACCCTGCGCTCAGACGCTCTCGGGAATTAGTCAATGGAAAGGATTATCCCATATATTATGGAAAATAAAAAATGTTTGAAACCACCAACCAGATCATGACTTATCTCTTTTGCTGCAGTTTGGTTTGATCCAACTCACTAGTTTGCTGGTGATGTTGCTCTCATTCTAGTCATCTAGAGTCTATGAGTGCAAGATGTACAAGCCCCACCTAAGCCCAAAAGAAACTAAGACTCCAAGTCTGTGGATGTCTATGATATGGCACGAAAAACAACCGCTTGATGCGGAGTTTTACTCTCACTTGCCCGATGCGCGGGGCGGGCCTTGCATGGCCATGCCGGCAGGCCTTATGGAGGGGCGTCTCGCCATCAACGTCCTTCGATGGAGAAACAAATAGGCAGGGCATATATGGGATATGGATGGATATGGGTGTTCCATGTTCTCAGATCATTGGCGACCTGAAAAACCACCAACATATAGTCACTCGGTCTTTCTTGGATATTTTAAGTAGGGAATGCCATGGTTTGGGAGATCCCGAGGTTGGAGTACGCTAAATACGGCTACGGCTCCCAAGAATTGAAACAAAAGGCCGAAAGTTTGGTGATTTTTCATGGCTAACACCAGAGGGGGTGAATGGTTGAGCGTTTCCCAAATAGTAAACGACTCTGCAACAAAATGCTGAGTTCTGCGAACCCATTGAATCTACAGATGGTGTTTTGGAAACTGGCGAATGGCCAGGATCCCAAGGTGGAATTTGGACCTTCACACCATCAACTTTTCACAAGACCCGCAAAATTCCCAAGGGACCCTGATCCAAATACAGTGCATACACCGAGTATCTAAACCATTCACCGAATCAACATGACCCTGTAAAAATATCCACAAATACATATCCAAAATCACATGTTCTACACCAGGATCCAATAAGTCTTGACCCAACTCGGCTCCAACATGGCCCAAGGCTACACGATCCAAGGCATCCAAGGTGCGCTCAGCAAGGGATCCGCTCCCCGTCTCAAGAGCACTTCCACCTCGGCCGCACACGGCGCAGAAATGCGCCGAATGTGATCCCACCACTTTAGACCCATTTGGGGATGGGTTAAAACCCTGGCACCTAGTGAACCCCAAAATAGCTGGTAAATGGATGTTCATCCCCCTAAAAATGGTATGTATAGGTATTGACCCATACCCAAATTGGTTCATGAACCGGAAATTATTGGAATGAGTTCTCTTTGACTGTATATCAATGTAATAATTGCAGCTATGTTCTTACACTCTACATGTCGGTTACTAGGTCACGTAAGGACCTTCAACATCCTTTCATGTAGGGAAGGTTCGAGCTGACATGGTGCCTCGATGAACATCGCAACAGTTTCATAGGCAATTCACTTCATCTTAGATTTTAATAAGGGATCCCCAACAACAATCCACAGTGTATATTTTCCCACAAATGATGGATTTTCCCTTGGGAACGACTCCGACGAGGACGACGTCCACCACCACCACCACCACCACCCTTGAATCATCAATTTTAACAGGTTTTACCACTTTAAACCAACCATAAATTGGGGATCCCCGATTTCAGGAAACCTCCATTTGCCCCTCCAGATGCGGTGTCCAGGCCACACACTCGCTCTGTCCACATCCTGCAGCTACGTGCAAGGGCGTGGAGCCATCGTCCACCAGCCGCAGATTGCAGTCGCAACCTGCGGATTTGATAGTTAAAACTTGGTAGATTGGTTATAATGAGTTCCAGGATAAACCATTGCAATCTTGTTCAACCACTATCTTACGGTATACCAGTAGTGCCGCACAAGGCGGTGGCGGAAGTTTCAAGGATAGGACACTATAGGAGAGGTGAGTTGTTGTGATGCATGGATGGCAGAGCGCATCCACTGATGGACCGAAAGGTGGTTGGAGTTGTGTTTTTTGGAGTGGTTGCCATGGTTGCAGTGGTCACCTCACCCACAACTGCTGGATGTAATGTAGTCCAGTTGTAGTTGTAGCTGTAGCTTAGTGTGGTTGTAGTTGCGGTACACTTGTAGTGTAACCACCTTGTGGTGTGGTTTAATTGGTGTAGTGTAATGTACTCTAGTGTTGTGTGCTGGAGTGTAGTATAGTGTAGTGTCAGTGTAGTCTAGTGTAGTGTAGTGTCAAGTAGTGTAGTTGTAGCTGTGGTTGCTGGGTAATGTAGTGTAATTAGTGTAGTGTAGTGTAGTGTAGTGTAGCGTAATGTAATGTAATGTGTTGTTGTTGTTGTTGTTGTTGTTGTTGTTGTTGTTGTTGTTGTTGTTGTTGTTGTTGGTGTTGGTGTTGGTGTTGGTGTTGGTGTTGGTGTTGGTGTTGGTGTTGGTGTTGGTGTTGTTGTTGTTGTTGTTAATGTTGTTAATGTTGTTGCTGTTGTTGTTGTTGGTGGTGGCGGTGGTGGTGGTGTAGTTGTGGTTGTAGGTGTAGGTGTAGTATAGTGTAGTGTAGTGTAGTGTAATGTAGTGTAATGTAATGTAGTGTAATGTAGTGTAATGTAGTGTAATGTAGTGTAATGTAGTGTAATGTAGTGTAATGTAGTGTAATGTAGTGTAATGTAGTGTAATGTAGTGTAATGTAGTGTAATGTAGTGTAATGTAGTCTAATGTAGTCTAATGTAGTCTAATGTAGTCTAATGTAGTCTAATGTAGTCTAATGTAGTGTAGTTGTAGTTCTAGTTGTAGTTCTAGTTGTGGTTGAGGTTGTAGTTGTAGGTGTAGGTGTAGGTGTAGGTGTAGGTGCAGGGTAGTGTAGTGTAGTGTAATGTAGTTGTAGTCGTAGTCGTAGTCGTAGTGGTAGCTGTCTATCTATCTATCTGTCTATGAGCATATTGGGCCCAATCAACATGGTTCATAGGGGTAGATCTCGCCACTTAAATGGGGGACTTCAATGGGACTTGAAGCGACTAAAACCATCCAAAAACCGGTCGGGAAACCGACCAGAAAACGGAGGATGGCACCTGAATCTAAGAGGTCAACCACTTCCTGCAGCAAGCCCTTCTTGCAGGCCATGAAGATGTCCACGGCCCGATGTTGCAATCCTTGGTGGAGCGGATCCATGGCTTGAGCATGGCAAAAGGAATGCTACCAAATAAAACTGTCATAAACTATCCAACTGCAGGTTACAAGACCAACATTTACCCATTGACAGGTAGTATGTGGGTTAGAAGCGCCTGTACTTGCAACATCTTGCAACCCTGGGTCCTGTAAGGGCTGTGTCAGGGGGACTGGTGAGCAAAGGGTGCAAAAACTATACCCGAGTTCATACCGAGTTAATTACTCTCCAGCTACTAGAACGAATTTTATCAAAAAAAATTGGGGAAATGTGAAAAATCGTGGGATACCTGCCGTATGTGATGTCTTTTTTCAGCATGGGGATGACTGTCAGGGATTGAACAAACCAACGTTAGAGGGAGATATTAGAGCTGGTATAAGCGGAGAAAATTAAATGATATTGAATGCATAATTTATATAATATATATATAATATATTATATAATATATATAATATATATAATATATATAATATATATAATATATATAATATATATAATATAATATATATATAATATATAATATATATAATATATATAATATATATAATATATATAATATATATAATATATATAATATATATATAATATATAGAATATATAGAATATATAGAATATATATAATATATATAATATATATAATATATATAATATATATAATATATAATATATATATACTATCATATACTGATATATGGTGCTACAATATCTACAATGAAACGACCTACCGTACAATTCAGTTGGAAACGCCTCTCTTCACCATGGGCGTTCCTCCGATTTTGGACATCTTTTACGGCCAAGCCGGCCACGCCCACATTTTGTTCTTTGATAGTTGGATATCTTCCCATTCTTAGTGATCAAAATATGTAAAGCTGTCCCCATGTTGCTTAAGGCTGCTGGGCTACTCCGGCCCCTAAAATGGGCCGCGGTCTGAGTCGGCAACCAAAAGGTCTGAGTCAGCAACTATGAGTCGGCAACCAAAAAAGGGCTGAGTCGGCAACCAAAACGAGTCTGAGTCGACAACCAAAAGCGCTGATTCGGCAACTTTGAGTCGGCAACTAAGAAAGCGCTGAGTCGGCAACCAAAAAAGCGCCATTTCGGCAACCAAAAACCGAAGTCCTCTAAAATAGAGGCAGTAGCTCCGTTTGAAGGCTCCAGTCTCTGGGTCGGCAACTAAGAAAGCGCTGAGTCGGCAACCAAAAAAGCGCCACGTCGGCAACCAAAAACCGAAGTCCTCTAAAATAGAGGCAGTAGCTCCGTTTGAAAGCTCCCTTCTCCTGTAAAAGAGGCAGTAGCTTCGTTTGAAGGCTCCAGTCTCTGCTCAAATAGAGGCAGTAGCTCCGTTTGAAGGCTCCCTTCTCCTGTAAAATAGAGGCAGTAGCTCCGTTTGAAGGCTCCAGTCTCTTCTAAAATAGAGGCGCAACTACTTTCTCGATATCTAATGCTCCCTGTCGTCTTGTCTAAAACTTTTAAGTCAATCCACTATGTGACTATGTTCAAATACAGCTTCAGGTGCTTCAGTATCTTACAAGATTTCACTGTATAGAGGGGCTCAAAACCCCCCCCGAAACCCCCCCAACCAACACCCAGCGTATGAACACCTATGTCACGTCAATGAAGATGTTCCATGAGGAACGCACTAGCAAGAACGTTATCAACACCCCCCGTCAATGAAATGATCCATGAGAACGCACTAGCAAGAACGTATCCAACCAACCCCAGCGTATGAACACCTAACGTCAATGAAGATGATCCCCACTTATCACGCCCCCCACCCCCCCACCATCCCCCCCCGAAACCCCCCCAACCAACACCCAGCGTATGAACACCTATGTCACGTCAATGAAGATGATCCATGAGGAACGCACTAGCAAGAACGTTATCACGCCCCCCCACCCCTCCACCCTTGGCCTTTATTTTTGGTTGCTGAAAAGGTCCTTTTTTGGTTGCTGACTCGGTCCTTTCTTGGTTGCTGACTCGGACGTTCTTGGTTGCTGACTCGGTCGTTCTTGGTTGCTGACTCGGACGTTCTTGGTTGTTGACTCGGTCAGTTGCTGACTCGGCTGCTTTAGTTGCTGACTCTTGGTTGCTGACTCGGTTGTTCGTAGTTGCTGACTCGGTTGGTTTTAGTTGCTGACTCGTAGTTGCTGACTCGGTTGGTTGCTGACTCGGTCAATGTTCCCCTAAAATGGCACCCCATCTGCGGCCGGAGAACGCGTGCACTTCTCAAGTAGCCACACCAGAGCCAACCTTTCAAACTGGGGATCGCTGGGGGATGATTGATCCCAACCCCCTAATCGTAGGGGTCCCTAAAAAGGGAGTATTGATGATTGTAATTAATGTGGGGACGTAGGGGATGGGATTGATTATAGATTATAAAAATTGGATTGATGTCAGGGAACATTTACAGCATAGCAATGCATATCATACAATACAGGAAACCCATGCTTTTTAGAGCACAAATATATAATGGTGTAAGCAACAACGAATGGTGGTTCAATCGAGTCACCAAACTGGGACGATCCGACCGAAAGTTCGGAAATGGCTCCGGCAACGACCAAAAAAGTGTAACTAGCCAACACGCTTAATCCAACATATCTACAATTTGGGACATACATCATACACATTGATACACAATCTTACATAATCATATGATATCATATGAGATCATACGGTTGTCCCATGACTGGGGACCGCCCCATGAGGTTTATAAACAGCCACCCGACTGGGATGATCCACCTGAGATCCCGGACAACCCAAGGAGCAATGCCCAGGTTGGCCAAAAGATTTTACTGAACCAAGAACTGGAGCGCTCAGGATGGATCCACCTGGGGATCCCCGGGATCACCAAGAAAAATTTCGATTTTGACACCAAGAAAAAGCATCAAAACGCTGGATACCCTCTGGTTATGTCAAAATAGCTATTGAACATGGCCATAGAAATAGTGAGTTTTCCCATGAAAAATTGTGATTTTCCATAGTTATGTTAGTTTACCAGAGGGTATCACTTGAATAACTGGGATGAATCATCAATTTCATCCACTCCTATCAAAATGGCGCCATTTTTTAAAAAACTTCTGGCAACCTCCACCATAAAAGAAGTAAATTCCTACTAATTCTATCTATATTTCAATGTAATAAAATTTGACATGGTCGACCTTGCTTGGGCCTTAGCACAACAGTATCTACACCTTCAGCAGTTGCTGTACCTTGCCGTCGCGCCAAGCGGCCACAGCAAAGGGAGCACGACGGCGCTCTGACCGCTGCGCAGCGCGCGCAAGAGGTTCGAGACTTGTCTGGCCTGGTTCAAGACGCAATGGTTGGTGGCAGATCAATGGGCAGATTGTAACTGCCCTTCGGTGTCATGGAGATTTACAGCTGGGAAAAATATCAAACTTAACGGATCATAATGGATCTACATTGGGGATTTCCCAGTAAACCTTTGTTTGATTGCAAGAGCGTACTTGCCACGAGCAACGTTGGAGTTTTGATATCGATATATGTGTGCTGTGAATAAGATCTGTTGGTTATGGTTTTATCACGTTTACATGCATGTAAATCGATATACTGTAACTTGTCCGTTTTATCTAATGGTGACAATTCCTCATTTGATCATTTGTTGTTGTTTATATATCTGTGTCGCAAACATCAATGTGACCTGTCGAGTGAGGCCCTGCTCGTCAATGAAGCGGCAGCAGTCGAAGACATAGATTGACACACCTTAGAGACATGGCGAATGGTAAGCAAAGGTTGGTTCAGAACGGGATTCCCCTATTGGGTTATTATAATCCCCAGTATATTGGATAGTATAATCCTCTATAATCATCAGCAAATCATTGCTTTGAACACTGCTCTCTAAAACTATCTAAAAATTGGTTGCTTTACGAAGGAACAGTTTGGAGGTTCAAACAACATAACCGCGCCCAGTGGGACATTTTGGCACTCTTAAACTTGAAGAAAGTAATCTGGGGCAGGAGTCTACTGATCTAGTGGACTTGCCAGCCATGCTTCCTATCCACCTAGCAAGTGGGATCTTTTGCAACCCGGAAGGTTCAAAATCTATGATCTGCCTGGAACCAAAATGACCCATATATATATATATTCCAGTGTTGCCCTTCTACTTGTGGATAAAAACGAATCCTAACCACGGATCATTTGAAATTTAGGTTCCAGGTATACCGAAATGTCCGGCTACGTGTTTGTGAAAAAAATGGTACCAAGTAGCCAACCCCTCCCTCAATCCCATCAGTGGCCATGCCTTGGAGCCAAGGTACTAAGGATCAACACCAACCTGCCAAGAGGAAGGTGCCACCATGGACTACTGGGAAAATTGTGGTTGCCAACAACTTCGTTTTGATTGACGCCAAGGCACTTGAGACCACTTGTTTGCTCAGTTTGCTCCCTAACATCTGGTTTGTAGATTTTCCCCAAAATCTCACTGTTGAGAGAAACATCTTCCCCACTTCTTTCTGGTCATATGTTACTGTACTGTAAGTTGGCAGTAAATTCGCCATGTGTGCATGACAAAGCTACTTCTGGAATTCCCTTGAAAGCATGGCTAATTCTTGACACGCGCAAAAACCTCAAGTTTTACCTCGTTAGTTTGGGTTCCAAGTTATAGCAAAAGATATGGGTATGGATCAATACCTATTAATACCATTTTTAGGGGAATGAACATCCATAAATCCCAGCTATTTTGATGTGAACAGAAGGGGTACTATTGGTTTTGACACACTGCCATATGTTTAAAGTAATTGAACCCACTAAACAAACCCAGGAAGCTTCACCACTGCTGTCACGCCTCGATCCAGGGGCCTGTTTGGCCGTGACGAAGCAGAGTGCTGCTGTGCTCAGGAGATAGTCCAAACACAGGTAGAGCACAGCCACCCAAACGTGAAACCTGCAGAGGTCTCCATGCCATGCTGGCATGATTTGGGAGATGGCATTGCCAACATGAGTGATATGAAGAATCGAGATGTATAGTTACGCCCCCTCCATATCATATCTATATACAATATTTCATATATTTCATAATACACACCTATGCTTGTTGTACCATGATCATTCAAGGTCGTCTACATAAAACTTTCGCAGTTCCATATCATCTTAATACACTACCATCAAATTCAGAGGGTTTGTGAAGAGCCAATGGTAGCTAGACGATAGGACAGTGCCAGAGTGTAAGTGTTCCACGAGAAAAAAGAGGTCTCTCCATCCATCTGTCTTTGGTGAGAAATACAGCATTAAAATGATTGAACCATCTCGGGTTTGAGGCGAGGCCGCAGCCCGAAAAAGGATAGGCAAGATCAACCACCATCAATTGGTGAAACAATCAGTACTTTGATGGTTTGGGCCAAATAAATATCAAGTGATTTTATGCTTTTTATGTTTGGAGTCACTTAACACATGGTCACTGAACAAGCAAAGAGTGGTCACAACTTGAACTTGCAGGTGTGAACTATCTGGATATCTCTGGACGATTTATATGTATAAATACCCAAATCGATTTCCTTGGCGATGCATTTCTGCAATCATGGCAATTTTCTCGATTGCGAAGATCCCTGAAGGTTTGAAAATGGGTAGCACCTCGTTACACCTGGCATAAATATGTATATATATATATGTGTGTGTGTATATATATGTATATATATATATATGCACATACAGTTACTATATATTCAACGATATATATAATATAATCTGATCCAGGTAGCTGTAAAACCATTTATGACTTGCAGTTGGATCGGCGGTAGACATCCCCTCCAGACCTGAGAGCTTCGGTCACCAGGAGCAACGTCAAGATGCGCAGAGCGATTTCACAAAGACGATAGGCGTAGTGCAGCACCTGTTCAAAGAAAAACCGTCACTTGAGGACATGGTCCAAAGTCCGGTAAAGTCCGGTTAAGTCATACCACCATTAATTGGGTCATACCACCATTAATGGTCATACCACCTAATGGGTATGATCATCATGGTATTAGACTAATCCATTAATTGGGTCATACCATGATGGTCATACCACCATTCATAAGATCCCAGGATTTTCCCGCGAGATGGATGTTGAGTACGGGCCACGGAAGAGATCTTTTTAGCCGTGTGAAGCGACTGTCAAAAACTGAATATCACCATGGGTTTGTCCAAAATATGCTGTACACAGTATATACCGTAAACCAACCTTGAACAGGGAACTGGCTAAGAAATCCACATCATGGAACGCGAAGCACATTCACACCCTGTACATGTTATATCAATTTGAAACACCCTGATATAATTTGCAATTGCATGTTCTGGATTTGTTTTCGGATACCACGGCATAAGATTATATTATATATATACAGTAGATATCATGATTCAGCCAAGATGCTTGAAATTGGAAGGGGAAACCTTCAGATGTCAAGGTCTCATACTGTGCACCTCAGAGCAAGGTGGCGGAGAAAGTTTCGCAGCTGGGATTCTGAATCACCTACTTTGGGGGTCAGCGATTTTCACGGGCAGGAGATTGGGCTTTAACATGTTTTAAATATGTGGACTGCATATACCCCAACCTGCGGATCATCGTCTTGAAAGTTGGAAATTGTACTCCGGGACCTAAAATTCAGTGCATGTGTCGAACATTGTAGAACCAAGGTGAAAACTGCGTGGGACGTCGTGCAGGAAGGCAAACAAGGCCGTGCAACCAGGTCTAAAACACCATGGGGACGCAACATGTACAGTAGAAGCGTAGTTTCTAGATCACCGGCAGCACACTTTTCGATCCCTAAATCTTCCCAACCCCCATCAGGACACGTGTGCATAGTCATGTCAAAAAAAAACTAAAGCATGTTAAGGCATACACCCGGGGTTGTTAAACACCATGGGGACGCCTATCCACACATGTCTCCCAAATAGGCCGAAGTCCTAAGTATGTAATTATCTGAAGGCATGCACTTGGTGGTTTTTCTATTGTAGAGGGCCTTCATTGAGGGGTTCGGGCATAAGTCCCAAGCGGTGCACACTGCTGTTCCCCAGCAGCAAGCTGAGTACCCCACGGATCCACTTGGAAGCGTAGTAATCGAAGTTTACGGCTGCCTGGTACAGCCATCTACTTGTGACTAGCCATAGATACCTTGCGAAAGGTTGATGTTTACATAGCAGGAGATTGTCTTCCGCAAATAACGGGTTCATTTATGCTTGTTTCTAGAAGGTTATTGTATTCTTGAATTCATGGCAATTAAAAATGACCTTCCAAAAAGTTTCTCCCGCGGAATGAACCAGTTCTGTTTCTGCAGATCAAGCCCTTTGAAACTGGGGCTATACCCTGTACGGACAGGCTTCCTTACATTTCCTTACATTTCCTTACATTTCCTTACATTTCCTTACATTTCCTTACATTTCCTCTCCGGGCCACATCGAATTTCACCACCAACAAGTGATGTGTGGCGACCAAAAATACATGGCTATCATGGCTATATACTTTATATATCCTTCTCCAAGGCTTATGATAAGGGAACCATAGAACGCATAGAATCAGGACAAAGTGATGTGGCAAGGCTGCGAAACGGATCTCAACAATTTCAGGTCGCCGGAATTTGTCGTGTAGAAAAACTGATGGAACAAAATGGAACATGATAAAACCCCATGAAACCCCATGAAAGACTCCATTAGAACAGCCTTTAATACATCTTAAAACGCCACTAAAATTGTATTAAATCGAATTTATATATTATATAATTATATATCAACATGTTCACTGGCTCCCACCATCTTGCCACGTACCCGGTCACCACCGCTGCCTGCAACACGTTCAGCAATGACAGGAAGGCCATGGACAGCAGCACGGAGAGTTCCAGCTCTGTATACACCAAACCTGGGACGGTGCTGAGTGCGAGGGATGTGAAAAAGTGGCAAGGTCGGAAAAGGTTGGTCTTGAACGGGTACCATTTATATGTGTATATATATAGAGAGAGAGAGATCTACTGTACCTGTTTGTGTATACATATATATACACATACGTATGTATATATGTAATGTGATGTGATGTGATGTGATGTAATGTAATAATGTAATGCAGTAATGCAGCAATGCAGTAATGCAGCAATGCAGTAATGCAACGCAACATAGATTAAATGTAATGTAAGGCAATGCAACGTAACGCAACGGAGGGCAAGACAAGGTAAGGTAAGGCAAGGTAAGGCAAGGTAACGTAAAGTGTGTATAATATGTATATATAATATACATATATATATATATGTATACAAGTATGTGTATAGGCGTAACACTTGTGCACATGTTTCTGTATCACACACATATGTATAGACTACGTCAGCTTTTTATGTGTATAATTCGGCGGCGTAAACTACTAGAAGGTATCCTAAGATTCCATACCTAAATGGAAGATTGATGATGTCGGAAATATGTCATGCTTTATTGCAACAAAAGGATCTATTGATCGAACATATCGACCAAAAATGGGGCCCGAAAAAGATGCAGTCCACATCAACATCATCCAACTTTGGGGACCCCTTTTTTTGGAGCTTCTGGATAGATACCCCATTGAGTAATCTAAACTGGAATATGTTCCCCTTGATACCCATTGATGAATGAATTGTTCCCATGTCAACAATATGGCTATTTAACTCATTGCCATGTTGGATTTCTGGATGGTATTTTTTTACCGTGGTGCAAAACAAAAACTGAGAGACACACCTTATAAAAATCTTCGAAATCTATATCGATCTATGAATCTCATATACAGTAAATCAATGTAAATCATGTGACTTTTAACGCGAAGGCATAGCTAAATGCTTTAATTCCGAACAGGTCAGTGAAGTTCACAATGGTGTCCGAGAAACTTGTGGATGCATAGAGCAGCACAATGATGCGAGGCACGTTGGTGACAAACATCACCTGGGCTTTTACCCTCTGGTTATGTCAAAATAGCTATTGAAAATGGCCATAGAAATAGTGGAATTTTCCCATTTTTCCCATGAAAAATGGTGGATCTTTCCATCAGTTGACAGTTTACCAGAGGGTAGTAGGCTGGTCCCAAGATGTCCCGAAGTTTGGATGAATGAAGGGGATGATTTATACATATTATATACATATGGGGATGGGTCAAAACCCTGGTACCTTTTGTGAACCCCAAGTCATAGCTGGGATTTATGGATGTGAATATCCCACTAAAAATGCTATCTATAGGTATTGACCCATACCCATATTATGATCATTCAATGTATTACTATAACTCCACATGCAATTCTAAAGTTGGTATGTAGATCATAATTATCCATCTGGCGAAAGAGTTACGTCAACCAGTTGCTACAGGTGTCTAAGCACTTGGATAAGCGCAGGGATCGTCCAGATTTTCTTCAAAAGCTGATGACACACGTGGAACTGAGATTAACGCATGTGTCGCGATAATATAATGTGTGGAAAGAAACAACTAACACCAATATCCAAAATCGATAGCCATCAACAACAAATGATCCAAATTTATCCATAACTACCCAGACCCAGACCATATATTTGGCACTGGACACAACTGGTTTCTCTGAGACTTCCCACAGGCTGTTGCCCTCCCCCAAGCTGCGCATCGGTTGGATTCGTGCCCACAGATCTTCAAATCTCCATCTGTTGGCATGGTTTTTCAACAGAAATGTCAAAGAAATCAATCCAAGATTCATAGATGTTTCTGAAAACCCTACAAACATCTTGTTACCCCCAATCATGTTACCCTATAACGTTTCATGTAACATGTTACCCTTTCAGGTTTCAGAGAAAACCCTTCCGTCCCAGCAGCATGACTGTCGAAGCGAGCACTCTCATGTAACCCTTCCCCCGCGGGAGTTTCGATCTCGTCGACCAACGAGGCCCGCATGCCGCGCTGCTTCCAACACTGCCTGGCACCTCGGCGACGGAAAGCTACGGAGGTCACCAGGGCCTGTGGGATGCTGAGGAAGTGTATAGGCAAGTTATATATCGTTCTATCATAGTTCTATACATGTTCTATATATGTATATATAACCTCTATCATATATATATATATATATATGTGTGTGTGTTGTAATGTATGTATGTAATGCAAAGTAATGTAATGTGATTAATGTAATCTAATGTGAAAATATAGATTGTAATATATTGAAATCGTCATTCCTGTAATAACGTCTAATATTCTATGTGCAGTATATTTTTTTCATACAATGGGCCCCACTCAGAGCTGCAAAAGATTCGAATAGGATGAATCAAGTACTCGTGGATGGTTTGGAAGCCACTTTGGGGGATCTTCGTCGACTACAGTATTTTGCATCCACCAAAACCCACTAGCAGGGTTTCATTAGTGGTTGATCTTAGATACGCTGCAAATTCAGTTCATGTTTGGCTTTGTTTGATATGAATGTGTATGTGCAAATACTAATTACAGCATATTATATATATACATATATATATATATACACTGTACATGTGTATATATATATAGTCATTTAAGCGACATAGTATGTATATTTTCCTGTAAAGAACGACTAAACCTAGAGCATGATAGAGCAAAGTTGTTTCACCTACGTTCCTCCGGGCCGTTTCTCAACTTCGCCAACACGCCAAGCTGCGCATCACCGGCAGGCAGCTCAAACAACCGAATATCAGGAAGACGATGCTCTTGAAGAACATCGCTTTCCTGGTACGATCTGATAGGGGATGGGTTTGCCAAAACCTGGTTTTTGGGGAGTCAAAAAGTGTCAGTTTACCTGGTACCCATGCTGTCGAAATTATGAGCTTGCCATTGTCTGATCGTCCGGTGTAAAGTTCGGGCCAGGCAAAATGGTGAGCAAATGCGAAGTTTTGTTGCCATCGTTGTCACCTGATTCTTCATTAGTGACATCCTTATCGCCGCTCAGGTTTTATGGGAAAGCCTCACATTTCGAAGTATCCAAGTTCCGCTGCCCAAAAACAAAGCCATCCTTCACCAAGGTTTACCTAGTTCATTGGATAATTCTACATATGTACATAGATATACATCTAGTCGCGCATCTAGTTGTACACATAGATATCGTTACAATATATATATATATATCATATATCATAGATTGTATATATATATATACTGTATATATAGATCTATATAGATCGTTTACCAAGGTGTACCCCACTAGCACCAGCTCCAAGGCTCCCTCGTGAGGATCCCTGCAACGCATGGAGGTTCCGCCGAAAGGCCCAGTCGCGGCCGATCAACTGCACCTCTACCGTGCGGCCGGTGGTTGAACAAACATAGGGACATGGACCAACAACAATGGGTATTTATGTGTGTGTATATATATATTTATAAAATTATTATACTTATATATATATATAATTATTATACTTATAATTATATATAATTATAAATAATGGGGATATAATGGGGATATAATGGGGATATCATGGGGATATAACGGGGATATAATACGGAAAATAGGGAGGATATCATTGTGCTTTCAGAATTTGAAGTACATAACTGCAAATGAGGATGACCAACTCACCAATGCTAACAACTAGTTGATGGTTTCAATCTCCTAGAAACATCTTTGTCAACTGGGATCAGCATCCACAAATGCAGGACAAACAAGTAAGACAAGATGTTTAGCTGTTTATCAAAGGAGATAAAAGGTGAGATACTCATTCATCACACAAAGAGTTCTAATCAACGAGTGTTTTGATATGTTTCATCTGGAATTCCGCCGCCAAGAACAAGAAAAAACAAAGATAGCCCAAATGATCTTGACATCTCTTGAGATGTTTCATTTTTTGGCAATTGGATGTGCATCTACTTGTTGACACAGAAATTCAGATGGAAAATCCAATCGAAATCTATGAACATAAAAAGTAATAAAATGAATATGTAAATAATTAACATGTTCACTTTCGCTTTTGAAAATCATAGGTTTTGGCCCGCCATCCCCACTTCTTTTCACCGCACGGACCTCAATTCCAACCAGCAAGGTATGTGGCAGTGCCAGTAGGAAACAAAGACACCTAGGTGACAAGAAAGCCGCAAAAAAGACAAATAAGAGGGCTCCTAGAAAAAAATGTGGAAAACGGACTTCATGAATTAAGCCAAGAAAATGGACAATGAATATCAACCAGTGGGAATATTCCGTGCAAAAAAGGGAATAAAGCATGATGCACCCGGGCTAGTCAGATGCCGTGATCACGGATTATGGATCATGATTCAAGGCTAAGGAAGTTCGCCCACTGGTCTGTCCTACGTGTCCCAGGCTTTGCAGAACCCCAATTAGATCCGCTTAGCTTTCCCTCTTGTCATCCATCTTTCTTGGCTTCACCATGTTTCACCTGTTCTTGTTACCCTCTGGTAATGACTAACATAGCTATTGAAAATGACCATAGAAATAGTGGATTTTCCCATGAAAAATGGTGGATCTTTCCCATCAGTTATGTAACAAATTAGCAGAGGGTATCCCTCAATTTGTGGGTCATCCCCTTGGTTTTCTCAGTGGACCTGTGAGTTGATAAAAGGTGCTAACATCTGCCCAGCCGTGTATCCGTGATGAAAAAATCTAAGCAGCAAGATATGTCTATAGATCTTCACACCGTGTTTGGTGCCACGAATCTTACAACAGAAATCTTACCCTCTGGTAAACTAACAGTTTGCTATTGAAAATGGCCCAGTCGAAATAGTGGATTTACCCATCAAAAATGGTGGATCTCTCCATAGTTATGTAACAAATTACCAGAGGGTAAATCAACTTAAACCCCAAACGGTTGTTGCGTAAAAAACTGCCAGTGTTCGTTGTTTGTTTCTCTCCCGGTTTCTTCAGTGCGGGCTCGCCACCAATCTTTTCTGAAAGCACATAGTAGGATGCCTCGGTGCACAAAAAAGCCTTGTGATTTTCGTGACTTTCCCAGGAAGTGCTTCAAGTGATTTAAGTTGTTTTAAGTTTTCTGTCTTTCCTTTTTCTTTGCTGATAGAACTATATGGCGGTCCCCCAAAAGATAGAACGGTTCTTGGATGTCATATATCATCCATGTGTTTTCATTAACATGCATTGACCTCAGAATTCCATATAATGGAAATTCATGGAAATTCCATGTTTACAACGTTGATTCTCGTGGGGTTGGTGGAATCTGCAATGGTGCTTGGATTCCATGATGGCACTCCCGATTGAGACTCCCCAGAACGGGCTAATGGCAGATAGTGGTGGTTGTTGGTGGTTGTCACCGCAAGCAAACAGTGACCTACCTAAAACAGTGACCTGCCTCGTTATCAGTTATGCAGAGTTATGGAACAATTCTTCTTGCAACGCCATGTCGGTTGATGAAGCCCAGAGTGTTTCTTGGTTACAGACCTATGTTTTCTTGGTTAATACAGTACATGATAACAACCGTTATTGCTGAACTTAACCATGTATGGCCTGCTCAGGTACCCAGAGTCGTGGTACTATGCCATATTGTCGGCCATGTCTTTACGGTTCATTCCCTTACATGAGCCTTACATAGATCAACTGCCTGTGTGTGTGTTAGCTACCTTCTAAGGCCATACGTTTTGGTGTCTAGCAGGCTTCATTGGCACGGGAAGCAGCATTAGACACATCAACACACGTGGTCTACCGTAAAAACATGTAAAAATATCTAAAAATATGCAACAACAAGTAACAAAAACCAACCGAGAAATGACAAGAGTTCACAGGTGCATCAATGTGCCTATTTGTTTTACTTGTTCAACTGCTTCGTATGGGATCTATCCCCTCTTTCATCCGACGATCTGTTCTATCCCCATATATCCAGTGTCGCCAAGGAACATCCTGTGCTGATCCACATCTCCAAAAAAAAGAGACACCAGTTGCCACAACGCCTAGCTGTCGCCAGGGGCAGCATCTAACAGGGATGCTACTGCTACAGCTTGGTGGGTGAGCCACCTGTCCCAATATATATATATATATACATACATAGACATGTGTACAGTATATAATCATAACATGTCTATAGTAAATACGTATATAAAACATATGTGAAAAGAAATGTAAATCATTTGATAAGTTTCATGGTTCAGACAGAGAGTTCTAGAGAGAGGTGGAATAGAAAAATGAAAAATGTTCGAATTGAAACCGCCAAGCAGGTGTACACAACACAAAGTTGAATCCAGATTCGGGTGGGCAACCGTAACATGTTTAATAATGTTTGATAGAGCGCAGAAATGTCGGTGAAATTTATCTGAGATATTTTGAGATTATACAACAAAGGAAAACATGGGATGTCAAATGTCACCAGCAAATGACCAATATACAAGCTTAGCACGAACCAAATATACGAACCAAAAAGTACGATTCAAATATGTCATCCCACGAATGAAAAATTAGAACAGATTTGAAAGCACCAGTTTGGGATTTCAGCTCTACAAATCGCCAACCAACATTGGCTTCTTCGCCATCGCCCTCCATGTGGTACCCGTCGAACTCGTCCCCAGAACCCCAAAGTTCACAGGACCGGAACCGTCTTCAGATTAGTCATGTTATATAAATCCAAAAAGTAGGATTCCAACCTGCTTAAAGATTTTAAGCGAGTTTCCGGCATGTCCAATTCGAACATATACCTACCAAACTGACGATGTTCAACTGCTTTTACCCCACGGTGTAATCCAATTCTAGCAAAGGACAAAGAAGTGATTCCCATGAAAAGAAATCAAACAATACGGGTTTTGCATGGTTTTGCATGGTTTTAGCCGTTTATCCAGCCATGTTTCCAGAGACCCAAATGTCCATGCATTTCCAATCCAAGCGACACCAAGTTGGGATCAATATGATTCACCGAAGCCCCGCTGTTCACCTGCGATGGCCCAACAAGGGCCTTGCGTTTGAAGGCTGGTTGGTGGTTTCAACCCATCCCAAAAATGCTGGGCGATTTGGCATCATGATCCCAGGTCATGTTTCAAACATGTTCAATGCGCCAACCAGAAGGGTTCAAGATGGTCTAAGGCTAAGGCAAATATCTTCGACGTCACCAAATCTTTATCTATCTAGTCAGACCTGGGTCTTCGCGAATCCAACCATGTTCCACAGGAATCTGAACTTTACTGGTTTACAATCTTCAAACAATGATAATCAAAACATCACAAAACTCTTCCGCCAAGGAGTTCAAACCCTTCCCTCCGTAGCATTAATATAGCATGGTTCCAGACCAAGTCACCAAGTCACATGTCTTTGTTGAAAAAAGGCGGATAGCACAAACAAAAAACTTGGGTCCAATCCCAACAGCAAAAAATTGGAGGACCTTGTGGCAATCCAACCTGACAAGGGGAGAATCTGAAAAATCTGTGAGTTCTTTTCTTGAAAAGACCTGATTTTGAGCTTGTCGTCTGTTTAATAATGTTTAATATATCCCTATCGAAATGGCAAACAACCCATTAAACTTCAGAAAACCATCCAACCAGCAAATACCAAATCATTGGTATCTCCCGCATTCGATGAAATGATACCCAGACTATAAAAACCAAAGGCTTACCTGGACTACATCCATGTTTCATGATGAAAATCCTGTTCCGAATTGTTTCATGGTCAAATCTTCTGAAAAACCTCCATGTGTGTCCGTTCTTACAACTACCCTCTGGTAATTTAACGTAGCTATTGAAAATGGCCATTAATAGTTGATTTTCCCATTAAAAATGGTGATTTTCCCATCAGTTATGTTAAATTACCAGAGGGTAAAACTCATTGAAACCCACAGTTTCCGTCATGTTTTCCCATGTTTTCCCCCATCCCAAGCTCCTCACCCCACCCTGGACACCCCCGGGACACCTCAATTTGTGCGGCGCGGGGACTCCGCCCGCCTTTCTCCGCCTTCTCATCGCGGCTGCGCGAAGCACGGTCACGGCTGTCGTCGTCCAAGGTGCTGGACATCTCGCCCCATTCCTGGTGGGATATAGTTGGAGATCTCCAATAACTAGTGGAATAGTTGGATAAATGTTGGATAAATGTTGGATAATATAGTGGATATATGGTATAACAATAACTAGTGGATAAATGTTGGATACCATATACATCCATATACCCTCTGGTAAACATACAAAAAGCTATGGGAAGATCCACCATGTTCAATGGGAAAATCCACTATTTCTATGGTCATTTTCAATAGCTATGTTAAATTGCCAGAGGGTACCATATATTGTTTACTACCTTTAGTGTTGGATCATGGGGAATCCATTTAAGGGCCACCAATAACTTGAAGGTATATAGCCAGTCTCTTGTTGAGGGGACTTATCAAGCATGTTTATCACTTTGTGAGGCGACCAGTTATAAGATATAAACGCATCCAGCTGCACGTATGCATATGCAGTATCTACACCACAAACTCCAGTAAGCAAGGAAGATCTATAAATTAAACCAATTAAGCTCACGTTGAAAACGTATTTGTACATACAGTACTGCAGACTGTTTACTGTTAACCAGGTAATTCAATTGTAACTGGTAGAATGTGTATGTATTTGATATGTAATTATACAGCTTAACCGATGTTTTGTTCGGTAGAACTTGGTAGATATTGACAAATGGTCACCCAGCTGGGTAAAGATATGCCAACCGATTGAAATGGTGGTGTGCCCGGCACGGTCTTTGGAGTGTTTATGGAACCCAAAGAGAGCTGCCACTACCAACAAAATAGATCAAAATGGAATTTAGGATACTTGTCAACCGTGTGAAACCTACAATGTAGAGCCCCAACTGTAAGATGAGTTTTTTACGCATCCAAATGTAGATATACCCGGCATAACCTCCAACTAGCTTAGCCATAAACAACATTTGCCCAAAAATAGGGCTTGTCCAAAAATAGGGTACCGTACCCATTCCAGTGCTTCGAATAGAAAAATGTTGTGGTTTCCCCAGTTCCAGGCTATTTGTGGGGTATACCGTATAATAATTATTATCGGACACACCCAAATATCGCCTCTATCTCCGTTAAATATATTTCCATCATATCCCGGTTTTCCAACTATTGCTGGTTGAATCCACAGTTTTGGGCCCAAATTAGAGATAGTTGGTTATTTATATCTCAGTCTCTCTCCATTATATAATTGTCCCCTTTGCGTGTATTCTATATCTCGGGGGGTCAATGCAAGTAGCCACATCCTATCTGATCTGGGCCTTGGACTCGTCGATGATGTTCAAACAATGCCTTGATAGATCCTCAGTCGCGTGGTTTTCATGACGGTGGGCTCTCTGAGCGAGGCAAACGTTACCAGCAAGAAGGCAAGAAGTCACAGGCAATAAAATGGTTGGATCAAGGGCATTTAAGTCATTCAAGTGCATTCAAGTGCTATATATTTCTCTATGCATGCCTTGAAATCCATCCGTTCACATACTAACATGTGGTTGGGAAACTCTTTGTAGCTCCTTAGCTCCCAATTTAATAGGGAACATGGATACCTTTAGCTCCTTAGCTTCGACCTGACCACTGGATAGCCTATCCACATTTTGCAGCACCTTGAAGTATCCAGGTCACTGAGGTTCTGGGGCTCTGCTTGGTGGGTACACGGCTGTCCTGGCAACTGAAAAAATGCAGCCAAGTGGACAGTTGATCCGATCTGAGCACAGATTGACTTAAAGTTGTTGGAGGTAATTGTGAGGTCACTATCATTTGTCCAGATCCTATGGTATCAGCCAAGAAAATACTCAACAAAGAACCGTCGTCTCAGAAGAAAAAAGGGGCTGGCACGAGAGATAGCTCGGAACCGACCCCGGGAAAAGATAATCCAGAGAAGAAGCTTAATTACAGAAGTACTGGCTAAGAGTAAGACAAAATTTGCAAAGAAACGAGAGATGGCTCAGAAAAGGGAGGTTCAGTCAGTCAATCTTTCAGTCATTCGACATTCAGTCGTACAGCCATTCAATCTTCAGTCAGTTACTCATTGATACTCATTGATCAATCCAACCAAACACTGACGTCAGCAAGTAAACATTGCCACAGGTCCTTCTTTTTCTAAAAACTACTACGAATTGTTTTCGAAACTTCCACCCGAGTTCAGTTGGGGTATGCTGCTATGAGTGCATGTCCATGTTGGGATGGCGTCCCTTATGGTCTAGCCATCATTTGGACTGATGTTTTGTTGTGGAAAACCATCCCCATTGGCCCATTGGACCCCATTTCAGATCCATCTGAATTCATCATCATCGTCGTCATGAAGATTCTGGGAGACGCCACCTGCAGATTTTTCGGATTTGTGCCTACCCTCTGGTTATGTCAAAATAGCTATTGAAAATGACCATAGAAATAGTGGATTTTCCCATTAAAAATGGTGATTTTCCATAGCTTTTTGTTAGTTTACCAGAGGGTAACTACACAAATCCAGACCCCCCCGACACCCTTCGTGCCCTGATTACCTGCACGACGCTGGAGCCCTCTGTGCTGGCACAGGAGTCTGCCACGTGGATGGTGTAGTCCGTTTCCTGCGGCGTGGCTCGAATCATCCCACGTTTAGGGGGACGGCAAAAAGTCACAAAAATCAGTTCAGTAACTGGATTTCAGTCCCAAACTATATATCCTGTTCTATAATATATATATAATATAATATGTAATATATATATATATATTATCTGTATATATTGCCTTATATTGGGTATCCATAGTATATACCATCTAAGTACTGTGATAATGACCCAGGATCTATTTGGACATTGCCCCGCCTGGCTCTCCATCTCGGGTGCCTGTCGAAGTGGTGAATTACAACCCGCGAATTTCTCACGTCTGATGGGAATGCCATGGGAATTTCATCCAGTAAATATGGAGATTCAATTAGAAATCCATGAAAAACATGGGTTGAACATGGGTTCAACTAGTGTTGATCATAGGTTTTAACTCAATAGAAAAACAAGAGATCAACAAATAATCGTGAAGATTCATGGGGATTTACCCTCTCATCCAACCCGGCAATTGAAAAAAACCTCCCAATTTGTAGATGGTGTTCCTACTAACATGGGAGTTCCACTACCACAACTGATTACCCTGGGGTATCATCATGTATCGCGATCAACAGGTATCCCTATGAGCTCAGATTATGCATGAGACTGGTGTATGTGCATAAACTTCTATAGTATGCCAGCACCATGGACTGTATGGGTAATGATTCTGACACCCATCAGGATAAGACCTGCTTCCATTCTTGCTCCCGTTCTCCCCATTTTTGAGGCAAAGATCTTGGATCACTGCGACGTGATTTTTTACCCACAAAGATTGGCACATTTTTTGGCCTCCGATGGGCGCATAAATCTGGTGATCGTAGACAACTTTTAGGGTACCAGGTACGAGTGTCTAGGTATCTGAAAAAAAGTCCTGACTCAGGATCGGTTACCCTTCAGTTCTGGGCAGTTATAAGATATTATAAATGTTATAAGCCCATTTATCACCATTTCTGGTGCTGATGTTGCTGCCTGCGGAGCTCCTGCGCCACAAGTGCCTTGCGGGATTCGAAGTGGGCAAAAACCTTAGTAGAACCCACTTTTATCTGGAATATATCCATTTGGATTATTCACCACATTGACATATGTATGTGAGTAATATGCATGTATATATATATATATTTTTACTTGAGGATACAGTTCTACTTAAAGGGTACTTATCGCCATAGTTGCAGGTTTATAACCCAGATTTTTGGTGTGAAGTCACCATGGTCCCGTTTAGTATGTCACAATAAATTGCTGAATTAGTGAATTTTGTATACTTGGCATATAATGATATATATATAATGATATATATATATATAATGATATATATATAATGATATATATATATATATAATGATATATATATATAATGATATATATATATATAATGATATATATATAATGATATATATATAATGATATATATATATAATGATATATATAATGATAGAATATATATATATATCAATATGGCCAACACATAGGGGCTGATTTTGTGGCAAAGCGGTGAGCACTTGGAATTGAACTCTGCAATAGGCCGCTGCGACAGCAACTGGATGCCTGAAGGAAAAAAATAAAAATAATATATATATATATGACATATGATTCCTTCCCCAAGGCTTTGTAAATGCCAAACTGAGGGACCACATCTTCCAAAAATTGAGGCTAGATTCTAGATCGTCCCTGAGACATGAGGATTTCCCACTACCAGTTGATGACAAATCCGTATATTGTATACAGTATACATACATATATATACATATATTATACATATTTTATGTATATATATATGATATGCATACACACATTGTACCCCCAATATGAAGGCCACTCTAATACTGACCACATTCTGATATGGATACGTTGATTTGGCTGGGTTCCCATCACTGGTGTCGGCCGGTGAGGATGGTTACAAGATTACTATCCTTGCCCAAAATACACCTTCTTTTTGGCTGGGGGTGAAACATTGCAGCAAATGTGACCGGTCATATGGCAAAGTATGTTCTTCTATCATCCACTGTGAGGATGTACCATGATGTACCCAGTCTTCACTGTTTGATCTGTTTGCACGGGGTTAAGGGATGTTAAGGGTTACTGTAAACAATGCAGCAAACATAAAGAAAGGAATTTTCATGGTCCCATGGTGTCCAATGGTCAAATCACCAGCTGGTATCTTCAACCGTCAACCCATCCGAAATGAAAAAACAAACCGTGCTCCAGGACCGTCCCAGCCTGCCGTAGATGCCGATGGGGTGGAGCTACCTGTGAGTCCTGGGAAAAATGAGGATATCGCCAATGGAGATAAACTGTAAACATATGGAGGGACGGGAAGGGGACGTGGCGCTGCTGCGGTGGGCTCTTAGCTCGAGTCAGGCTGCAGCCAAGCACGAGATGAAGAGGTAAGCAACAACAATAAGAAACTCACTCAGAAGAGCTACAGTAATTGGATGAAAAAATCATTGTTT